ATTGAAGTGGTTTCAACAGCTGGGCTGCGCTCATAGCACATGCGCAGTGAAATACGTTCGCGGAGCTTGGAAGCGGGTTGTCCGGTGAATATTCGGTAAAGGCTTTGGTGTGAGCTATTTTTCTAATGTTTTGTTGATATTTCACAGGCGCGAGCTTTTTATATGTTATGACAGTAGATTACCGATTTAACTGTTTATATAATTTCATTTGTCTATTTCACCACACGTTCTTCTTACCGAGTCACTTTCTCAGTTCGATAGCAATGTCATTATTTAGCGTCGACAGAATTTCTAACTGTGATATAGATATGTCGTTGTCACAGACAAAACTCAATGTCTGTTTTACTGGCACCTATGTGTCTGCCTGACCGTCTACTAATGACAATATTCAATACACAATCACTGACCACATGCAATTTGAACTTAACACCTATCAGGCTATACACCATAAACAAAACGCATTGATTTATGGCCCAAGTTCGGTCTCTGTCACATTATGTAATTACACAGACAGGCAGGTGTGATACTTGTACACATGACATGTTATGATGTCTGTTGATTGCAAAATGTTATACACAAAAAATGAGCATGTATTTACAAAACCCAACATCTATATATATATACACACACACAATGAGCCGTGCGGGCATACGCAAATGAACCAGCCGTTACACTTGAGTGCACACCCACCCGCTCTGACTGGGTTCGGTATCCCGGCTGCTTCGTTTCTTGGGAAGTAAACCCAAGTACACAATATTGCACTTTTGATTTGCGATTGTACGCTTATAATTTTGTTTTTATGTTTTTTCATAACCAGCAATGTATATTATATGTCATGAATAAGTGATAATTATGTTTTAATTATGTTTGATTTTTTGGTTGCATGTGACCTTTAAGTTAGTATGGGTACTTGTAAGTGCTTATGCATGCGCATGTGTGTAAATTAGTGCAGACGGAGACGTGTGTGAGTATAATGGGAGACCCTAAGGAATGTCTTCGCCCCTAACCTAATCCAAACCATACCCGGAGACCCTTAAGAATATGTTTGACCTTAACCTAACCAATACCCTGTCTCCTATAGAATATATTCGACCCTAACCCTAACCCTGGGGACAGATTCCATAGTTACAGCCCCTAAACCTAACCCTGGGGGCAAACAGATTCCATAGTTACACCCCTTAAACCTAACTCTAGGGACAAACAGATTCCATGCATAGTTACACCCCCTAAACCTAACACTGGGGGCTATCAGATTCTATAATGACACTGTCAAGATCACATGGTAATTTGGTTTGACTGTATGTGTTGTGGTGTAGTGTAGTTAGACTGTATGTAGTAGGTGAGTGCCAAGGTGTGGGAATGGGTAGAAAGCATGCAAGGTGGTATGAAGTGGGTTTGTGTGGCAAGAAAAGCATGCAAGGTGTGAGTTTTGATTATTAACTCCTTTGGGTTTTGGCAACTGCTCGTGGCCTATCAATGCTATGGGCGCACCACTAAGACGCATGACTTCGATCTGTTCTTTTACCCTTATAGACACTGAATGAAATATGTCCAATTGTTTACATACATCTTTATGGGAAAGATTTCCACCCGTAACCCCCGTGTGTTTTTTTATCATTCTATGCCTAAGATTGTATAGTAAGAATAGATGTTTATTTATAGAAAGCCTACCCTAACCCTAACCCTAAACCTAACAATGCTAAATCTAAACCTTAACCCCTTGAAATCATAATAAACAGAATACATTTCAAGCGGGGGTTACGGGCGGAACTCTTACCTGTTAATTGTTGTATCACGAGTCCCACCCGATTTGTGGCGATACATTATTATGCTAATATTTGTATAGAGCCAATATCCAGCTTAGCTGCTCAAAGGCACTTTGTTTTCTCCCTCGATCATTGGATGTCAATCTCAAACGGCACATCGTATTATCAATCTCAATTCCCTGAGCCACTGGGCGCACCAAGTTAATGTGGCTTTCCCATACTTACGAGATACCAATTCAGCTGGGTGGACTGGGACACAGTCACACTACTTTGTCCAAGTTTACTGCACGTTACTGTACTCGCAACAAGGTTTTTGGACGTAGTCATGTGGACTCATTAAAATGCACAGGGTTATGTACTGTACACTAGGGTTGTGACAACACTGAGTCTGCACACAAAGTTGACTCCAAGGTTTTTACACCCGGTCACAGATGGGCTCGATCCCGGCACCTCAACCTCGCTGGATCACGAGCCTGGCGCCTTAGACAAGCTCGCCCACCACGCCTCTGTAAATAGCACAGTGTTTATTGGTTTGAGTCTTTGCATCCAATCATGATTTATTTGTCCTCACAAATTGTTGACGCTTTTATTCCTTTTGAGGATTTGTCTCATGTACATTTGGTTCTAATTATCTGGGGATCAGTGCCAGACTCCGAGGGATAAAGTATGCGATTGATGTGCGAATAAATTTATTCTCCTGTTTCCCACCTGATTCCTACCCAATTTTGCAACATGAGAATGACAAGACTTTGGGAAGGTATGGGGCTCAGCCCGAGTGTGCTGAATACATAGAGCGTTTAGATGAGCTGTTATGAGACTGAATACATAGAGCGTTTAGATGAGCTGTTATGAGACTGAATACATAGGGCGTTTAGATGAGCTGTTATGAGACTGAATACATAGAGCGTTTAGATGAGCTGTTATGAGACTGAATACATAGAGCGTTTAGATGACCTGTTATGAGACTGAATACATAGAGCGTTTAGATGAGCTGTTATGAGACTGGGAACATCAAAATTACCTCTCAATTATTGTTTCAACTCAGTATCCAGAGAAGGTAGCCGAAGTGATATATTTGAGAAAGCAGAGGTAATTATAATATCATGTATTTGAAATTCATAATTTTAATTTACCTTTGTTACACAGTTATGTATACATATGTATGAAAACACTACGTTGTTGCATATGCTTATTAAAATGTTAACTGAAACATATTTTGCTCTGATTAACAGCAAAACAAAACTGTGATTGAACTTTGGTAACAATTTACTTGCAATCTGAGAATCTGTTTGTTGTAAAGTTCTCAAATAATGATGTTATGATTGTATGAACCACTAAATTAGTGACCACAGCAGTATCTAGTGTAGTCTGGTGCATTTATATGCAACCCACACCATCATGGAGTCACCACGAAAGGAATGAGCTGCGTGGAGGTGATACGTCTCCACGTGTGACAAGAGCATCAGAGGCCAGTAGAAGATAGTGACTAATGAACCCTATGCCATGTCTCTGAGCCTGTACTAAGCCCTGGCTGTGCCTGCGAGGAAGGGATCTCACCAGCAGGCTGATGGTACTGGTGGAGTGTCACAGTCTTTGCAGTTCTTTGGCATGGGTCTTGGGAATGCATCTAGTTGGATGATCCTTTACTTCACCGTTGGCAAAGTGCTTCCTCACATGTCTACTAATAACCGTGCCAGTAATGTCCGGTTAGCACAGTACATTGCTGGTCATGCATGCCAGTAACTTGCGATAGCGCATTTCGTGAAAGTCTACAAGAAGTGGAAATACTGCCAATGATCTGACTTTAAATCTTATTCACTCACATAAGGTATGAGTGAGATAAAGGATCTGGTATCTTGTGAATGAGTTTATTATGTCTTTGATCACAATAACATGAGTGCAATACATAACAGTACAACAAAGTCACATACCCACTAAAAAGACTTCATTCTATCTTTCTTCCAATAAACATGATGCACTTCGGTATATGGCAACAGGTACTGTCTGTGGACAACAGAAGCACAATTTTACTTCAGGCCTCGTACTTACAGTAGACGAAAAATTGTTCATTTTAATCCACTACACAGACAGTAGACGCAGTGTTCCTTCAGGCCTACTGTACAATAGTAGACAGTAAATGCAGTGTTTCTTCAGGCCTACTGTGCAGTAGTAGACAGTAGATGCAGTGTTCCTTCAGGCCTACTGTACAGTAGTAGACAGTAGATGCAGTGTTCCTTCAGGCCTACTGTGCAGTAGTAGACAGTAGATGCAGTGTTCCTTCAGGCCTACTGTACAGTAGTAGACAGTAGATGCAGTGTTCCTTCAGGCCTACTGTACAGTAGTAGACAGTAGATGCAGTGTTCCTTCAGGCCTACTGTACAGTAGTAGACAGTAGATGCAGTGTTCCTTCAGGCCTACTGTACTAGTAGACAGTAGATGCAGTGTTTCTTCAGGCCTACTGTACAGTAGTCGCAGACTTCCTTCAGGCCTACTGTACAGTAGTAGACAGTAGATGCAGTGTTCCTTCAGGCCTACTGTACAGTAGTAGACAGTAGATGCAGTGTTTCTTCAGGCCTACTGTACAGTAGACACAGTGTTCCTTCAGGCCTACTGTACAGTAGTAGACAGTAGACGCAGTGTTCCTTCAGGCCTACTGTACAGTAGTAGACAGTAGATGCAGTTCCTTCCTTCAGGCAGTGTTCTTCACTGTACAGTAGTAGACAGTAGATGCAGTGTTTCTTCAGGCATACTGTACAGTAGTAGACAGTAGATGCAGTGTTCCTTCAGTACAGTAGTAGACAGTAGATGCAGTGTTCCTTCAGGCCTACTGTACAGTAGTAGACAGTAGATGCAGTGTTCCTTCAGGCCTACTGTACAGTAGTAGAGTGTTCCTTCAGGCCTACTGTACAGTAGATGCAGTGTTCCTTCAGGCCTACTGTACAGTAGTAGACAGTAGATGCAGTGTTTCTTCAGGCCTACTGTACAGTAGACGCAGTGTTCCTTCAGGCCTACTGTACAGTAGTAGACAGTAGACGCAGTGTTCCTTCAGGCCTACTGTACAGTAGTAGACAGTAGATGCAGTGTTCCTTCAGGCCTACTGTACAGTAGTAGACAGTAGATGCAGTGTTTCTTCAGGCCTACTGTGCAGTAGTAGACAGTAGATGCAGTGTTCCTTCAGGCCTACTGTACAGTAGTAGACAGTAGATGCAGTGTTCCTTCAGGCCTACTGTACAGTAGACGCAGTGTTGCGTCAGGCATACTGTACAGTAGTAGACATACAATGTTTCATCTGAGCTACTGTATTGCCAATCGACTCTGTTCATCCAGTACACATGCAGAAGCACATCCTTTGTTCAGGGGACTTAAACATAATGCTCCTTCAGACCAACAATACAGACTGTTATGAGAACTCTACTCAGTCCTACTGTATAGACAGTAGATGCACACTGTCCTTCTTGACCTTGTATGGACGGCGCTACTTTAAGTCCTGCAGGTTGATTGTAGTCCCTGTAAAGGAGACTGCTCCAGTGACGGAGGCATTACTGCTCTCATCATCATATAGTGCCGGATGTGGGGGGTCATCCTGAAACAAAAGCTACTTTCACTCATAGCTGATCAAGCAGGGTCTAAAGGGGAAATTGTCATGCAGTGGAGTCAAAAGTGAGTTTAGTTTTACCCCGCACTCAGCAATATTCCAGCTATACGGCGGCGGTCTGTAAATAATTGAGTCTGGACCAGACAATCCAGTGATCAACAGCATGGGCATCAATCTGCGCAGTTGGGAACCGATGACATGTGTCAACCAAGTCAGCGAGCCTGACCACCGGATCCCGTTAGTCGCCTCTTATGACGAGCATGGGTTACTGAAGATCAATATTCTAACCTGGACCTTCACGGGTAGTGAAGTCAAGAAGAGTAAATCCAACAACTTGGGTTAGATTCCAAACATATTCACTACAGTGGCCATATTGATAAACTTATTTCACCATATTTGGTGAAAAGAATAACTCATGTGAAATGAACAATAGACAATGTGTTCACTTAGGCTTACAGCAGGAATTTACCTGAAGTAACTGTGTCTGGACGTAAGTGATTCCTGTCTCTGGGTCCCTAAACATGACTCCTTGGGATGAGCTTAGGATGTCTGGTGACGAAAACAATGGAGACACCGGATCAGCCACACTGGTATTCTCTGTGTTGTCTGCAAAGGCATGGCATATATTCAACATAAACACATCACTGAACTGTCATCAAGCAGAAGACTATTTTAATTCTTTCTCGGCAGAGGGAGCAGAGAGGAGAATCATGTGTTCTTTAATGTCTTTTCAAATATATGTAACCTCAACATATAAACTTTGCTAATTTCTATAATTTAACCCAATCCCCAATGCTTGATCAAAATTAATGTAAAAAGAGGGAAAAAGCATATAACAGAAGACACAAAATTGACTGGTACAAAAATCCACAAATGCCAATATATCCTTTACAGGGGTCAAAACTGGTTTCCAGTGTTTGGTAAGCTGAGCAGTTTAAGCATCAGATCTGCCAGCTGCTGCCTGTTTGAATACTATAGAATAGGAACGAGGGCAACGAGTGTTTTAATCAGTGTCTTGCTACTTCTCCCTTTGTTATAGAAGCAAATTCACCCAAGCATGATGTAACAAATTAGTGAATGGCTGACAAAACATAATGAAACAACTAATTGGTTACCTATATTCACAAGTAAGGTACTGAGTAAAAACACCAGCTGGGACACAAACACAGGGAATTACCACTTGGCCTGCAACACTTCTTACCTGGGAAGATTGTGTCACACACAATGCTCTCATCCAATTTTGGACTGCCTCCATTTTTCACAGAATGCCATCGCCGCCTTGCTCGCTCACTCAGCATGTGGTTACTGCGGTAGTCTGTGCGAGCCGAACCACTGCTGTTCTCCAAGGCTACAGTTGACACCCCAGCAGCATCTTCAACCACAAAAGATACCTGACAGTCTCTTATTTCCTTACAGACTCCGCAGTTCCACTTGGTTACAATCATTAAATGGTTTTTTTTGTAATGAGCTGACAGCAATGTAGAGTTGCTAGCGTTAATCTGAACACAACTGCTTAACATGGTTTCATGTACCTGTGTAATACCACACAAATACTGTAGAAGGTGAAGTAGTCTGAACCTACCTGTTGCTATGGCAATCTTGGGTGAAGGTTTTGGAGGGGATGGTGCCTCTCTATCCATCTGTGCAGGCTGCTGTGGAGGCTGCAGGGGGGTGTTGGCGATGAGCTGGGACACAATGTTGCTGCTCAGCTGCTCTGCACTGAGACAGTCCCCTTCAGATAAACCTGCCAACAGCACAGCACAGCAGACGTGAATAACTGGCCTCATCCACTCCTGGCCTAATACACTGGAGTAATTGAACGATCCAAAAAGTCTTTGAAGTAAATTAAACGGTTTAAACCAAGACCCCCTTGAATTTCTCTCTTAACTATGAGTGTTCTCAAGCAAAAATATGAAAGCGTTTGAAAGTATAAGCAGCATAACATGATAACTCTGAGATTATCACCTTCATATTGTTCGATATTTAACACTGCACTCAGCAATATTCCAGCAATATGGCTGATCACTGTCAACATTTTAAGATGTCTCAACTTCATTGGTTCACTAACATGAAAACATCAACAGTGTAAATACCTGGACTGACAAACTCTGTTGTAAGACTTCTATCCTGAGGTGATGACAGTGCTGAAAGTGAGGCAGTGGTGCTGTTGGATGTATCTGAAACAATCACATTGAAACAATTACAGCAGTCCAAAATCAGGAAACAGAGAACCCCAGCTGAAGGAATACATGGTATTATGTCACCACGAATAAAGCGACACTATTGTGCAAACCTTCAAACTCAATGTTACTTCATATACCCTGACTATAGTGTGTGTATGGTACTGGATATCACGTGACCAAATCAATGGAGAGTGTTGTGATTTTGCTCCGCATTGTAGCCCATCATAGCGATACAAGGAGTGGACTTTTTTCTACATATTTGCATACCAACAAAGAGATAAGTAAACCAAGTATTTGATTTTCATCATGAATGTTGATATAAGTCTCTGGAGAGCTAGAATTGGCTGTTTTTGTCCTCGCAACCGACGACCACGTTGTTTTAACCCCGGTATAAGGATACCTGGTGGGATGCGTGTAGGATGTCGCCTGTTGTTGTTGATAATGACTTTACTCATTGTATCTGGAGACGTGGAATCAAACCCAGGACCTCCTAAAACACCACATACGCCTTCTGATAGCAGGGTTCAGACAAGACTATCGCCTCCAGAATGTTGCAGGTCAGTGTGTTACTCCAGACGCTGGGGTCACCCTTGGTGACCTCGCTAAAACGCTTCAACAACATTCAGACTCAGATGTCATCGTTGAATGACAAGTTTGATGAGTTTCAGAACGACGTCCAGGGAAAAATTTTGCCACACTCAAGGAGGAAAATGACATTTTGAGAAAACAAATTTCTGATCTTGAGACAAAACAAGATAGTTTAGAAGCACAATCCAGGCGATGTAACCTCATTTTCCATGGATTGACAGAGCGTGAATTTAAAATGAGACGTGGCGTGAAACAGAGAAGGTAGTGCGAGATTTTATGAGCTCGCCACTTGACATCGACTCATCTGGTTCAGTGAGCATTGAACGTGCTCATCGGTTGCATGCTCGTAATGGGAATAGACCTGTGATTGTCAAGTTCACTTTCTTCAAAGACAAATCAGATATATTAGAAGTAGCAAAGACAACTTTGAAAGGAAATAAAGAGTTCAGAGTGTCCGAGGACTTTACAGAGCGTGTCCGACATACCAGATCCAAGTTATTTCCCTTTATGATGAGAGCAAGGGATGATAAGAAAGTGTCATACATGAGCTATGACAAGCTCATTATAGATGGCCTGGTGTATGTCTATGACCAAGAACTCTCTGATTTGAGACAGGTAGGAAAGCGTCAGAACTGGGTTTCATCAAACCGTGCTACAGACGCGAGACTAGTCATCACACTGGATAGGAATACGGTTATGGTCTCAGTGAAACTGACTGTTTGAATATCAAAGTTGCATATAGTAATAACGATAGTAATCTAAATAGCGACTTAAATTCCAAACCACACTCTGCTGGAGATCCAACTAACTTCTCATCTGACGTCACAAGTCATAGTGTTACTCCAGACGCTGGGGTCACCTTTGGTGATCTTGCTAAGTCACTCAACAATATTCAGTCTCAGGTGTCATCGTCAAATGACGAAGTTTAACGAAGTTTCTTAACGACGTCAGGGAAAAATTTGCCACATTTCGAGGAATATGCCATGTTAAGAAAACAAATTCCTGATTTAGAGACAAAACAAGAGAACTCAGAAGCACAATCCAGGCAAGATAACCGCATTTTCCATGGTTTGGCAGAGGGACTTAAATGAGACGTGGAGTGGGACAGAGAAGGTGGTGCGAGATTTTATGAGCTCGCCAATTGACATCGACTCATCTGGTTCAGTGGACATCGAACGTTATGATACTGAAGATATCAACTTTAATTCAAAACCAAAGTCTGCTGGAGATTCAACAAACTTCTCTCCTGATTCAACGAACTTCTCTCCTGACGTCACACTTGATACTCCACTCGCCATCTATTCTGCATGATGATGACACAGATATGCATGTTAGTGACATCATAACTGGCGACAATACACCGAGTGACACTGATGTCATAACGTCCATATGCTCTTGGAATATAAATGGGCTTATATCAAAAGTTAAGTTTTCTGATTTTATATCATTCTGTAAAAAGTTTAACATTTTCTGTTTCATTGAAACTATGTGTCCAAATGCATATGATATTTTAAATGACATTGTCGGTGAATATGATATTTACACTAGTAATCCTAGAAGATATAAAACCCGGGAAGGTTTTCTGGTGGATTAGCAGTTTGTATTAAAGAGATATTGCATCTTATTTTGAAAGAATTTACTGCAAAGCAAAAATGCTCTCTTTTTCAGAATAAGAAGCGAAGTTGTCCCCTTTCAGCTCTTCCTAGTGTTTGTTTACATTAACCCCGAGGGTCACCGGCGATACACAGACAGTGAAGAGAGTGGGACTGACATGCTAGAGCCACAGCTGCTTGATATTATTAATGATTATGGCGAAGTTGTCGAATTCATAATGTGTGGTGACTTTAATGCCAGGACTGGAAGTGAATTAGATTACATCATAGATGACGATGTTGATTATTTACCAGTTGATGACTATAAATCCGATGACTTTTCTTGTCCCCGACATTCACTAGATACTGTCGTTAATAATTATGGTTTAAACCTACTACATATCTGTAAGGTACTTGGTATCCATATTGTTAATGGAAGAACTAAATCAGATAACGGTGGAAACATGTCATATATTTCCCATTCTGGGTGTAGTGTTGTTGACTATTTTATTCTTTCTTCAAATATATTCGATAATATTGTAGACATGAAAGTCTGTCAACGCACCGAGTCGGACCACCTTCCATTGGTGTGCTATTTTAAAAATATTATCCCATCAGTAAGTAAAAATGAGATTCCGAATACACAAAAAACTGAATCATATTCAAGGATGAGTTACAGGCTTCCTCCGGATTGTCAAATTTTATATCAAAATTATCTCCGCAGTAGAGATGTCATAGATATGTTTAACACATTTACTTTATTATTGGAGGAAAACATCAACACTGCTTTAAGACATTTAAGTGATATATTAATTCACTGTGCAGTGAATGCAGGAGCCTATGATACAGTCACCCGTAAATCTCATTCACAGCAACCGCCTTGGTTCGATAGGGATTGTAGTAAATTAAAAACGAGAAAATATTTTCTTTTGAACAAGTTCAGAAGATTTAAATGTGATTTAAACTTAAAGTTGTATGTGGATGCCAAAACTGAATATAAGAGATGTTGTGAAAAGAAGAAGCGTTCTTTTAATACCAAAATATGTGATGATATAAAGAGGTCTGCTGATCATGGAGATTGTAAGAGTTTTTGGAAAACATTAAAGAAAGTTATACGTGGAAATGCCTCAAGTTATTCGATGTCTCCTGATACTTGGTACGATTATTTCAATAATTTGCTAAATCCGAAAGTTGAAAATGATGATGTAAACGATTTTGATTGTTTTGTCTCTCAATATATTAATTCACATTCTTGTGAGGATTGTAATGATTTGCCTTTCACGGATGATCTTTTGTCAGGTGAAATAACCGATAGGGAAATAGTCGATGCTCTGAAGAGTTTAAAAAGTGGTAAATCTGCAGGTGAGGATGGAATACCCCCTGAATTTTTCAAGATGTCGGGAAATTTTATTGTACCTTACCTGAAACTTCTCTTTAATAGAGTCTTAATTACTGGCGATTTTCCAGAATCATGGAATATAGGTATGATTTTGCCTCTGTTTAAGTCGGGTAAACGTTCCGACCCCAACAATTATAGAGGTATTTCTATTCTGAATGTCACAGGTAAATTGTTCACTATTGTCATAGAAAAGCGCCTTAGAATTTGGTTAGATATAAATGATCTTTTATCAGAATGTCAAGCCGGTTTCCGCCAAAATTACTCAACAGTTGATAATCTATTCATATTGCAAGCATTGTGTTCAAAATATTTATGTGTTTTAAAAGGAAGATTCTATTGTGCTTTTATCGATTTTAAAAAAGCTTTTGATTACGTTGATAGAAAGAAATTGTTATATGTACTGCTTACTAAAGGTTGTCATGGAAACTTGTTTAACGTCATTCGTAATATGTACTCTTCTGTAAAGGCTTGTATTAAAACTTCATCTGGTAGAACAGAAGAGTTTTCCACTTCTAGTGGTGTGAGACAGGGTTGCATATTAAGCCCAGCTTTATTTGTCTTCTTCATTAATGAACTTGTAACAGAAGTATATAAAGAGTGTAGTTATGGTGTATTTGTGACACAGGATATTGTTGATTTAATGTTACTTCTTTTTGCTGATGATGTTGTCATGTTTTCATATACTGTTAACGGCCTACAGAAACAATTAAATGTACTGTCTTCCTTTTGTAAGAAATGGGGTTTAGAAGTCAACTTACAAAAAACAAATGTCATTGTATTTAGAAATGGAGGTAAAATTGCTAAGCATGAACACTGGGTATATGACAATGTTCCTCTAGAAATTAAGACATATTATAAGTATTTAGGATTAGTTATATCTTCTAGATTGTCATGGTCAGTATCTTGTAAACAATTAGCATGTCAAGCCTCTAAAGCTGTCATTCCAGTTTATACATTTTTCAAAAAACTTGTAAATGTTCCATTTTCCACAGCATGTTCTATTTTTGATGGTAAAATTGCGCCGATTTTGTTATATGGGGCAGAGATATGGGGCACAAAATATAATGAGGCAATAGAGAAAGTCCAATCATCTTATTTTAAATGCTTTTTACGGGTTGGGAAGTTTGCTTCAAATAAGGCCACTTTAGGGCTAAACAGGGCGTTATCCTCTTTTATTCTCAGCCAAGTTAGAGTGGTTAAATATTGGTGTAAATTACTAAAGATGGAACGACAACGATATCCTTATCAATGCTATAAGTTATTAAAAACTCTTGATGATAATGGTAAGACCAGTTGTAACTGGGTTTCAAATGTTAGATTTTTGTTGTTTACTTGTGGGTATTCTTTTGTTTGGATTGCGCAAGATTTTGGTGATGAAGAGTTATTTCTATTTTCATTAAAACAAAGATTACAAGATATGTATTATCAAACCTGGCACAATAGTATTTCATCTTCATCCTTTTTATGTCATTATAATTCGATTAAGTCAGCTATAGAACCAGAGAAGTATTTAACATCATTAGAAAATAAGGATTTGATAAGAGCCATGTGTAAATTTAGACTTTCCCTACACAATTTTAATGTCAATTTTTCCAGAAGGTATAAACAAGACAATATTGACCTAATTAAATGTGCAAACTGTAAATTGGGTTTTATTGAAGATGAATTCCATGTATTATTAGTTTGTGATAAATATAAAGATTTGAGAGAGAAATATCTTCCACACATAAAACATGTCCATAAAAACTATATGTTAATGGTAAATTTATTAAACTCTCACAATCCTCTTGTTATACATGCAGTTGCAACATTGTTAAAACATATATTTATTGCTAGATAACAATTTCAATTTGTGCTCACGTGACATTAAAATAATACATTATATATTAACTGTAAAATGGGCCATAAGGCCGTATATTGCCGAATAAAGTGTCTGTAGTGTCTGTCTGTATGGTACTCTTTAACAGCAGTATCATGGCGGGGTGGACACCAGAAATGGGCCTTCAGTGTGACCCCACCATCCCTACCCCGACTATAGCGCAACCCTGAACAAACCACATCATCATCATGTTCCCTAATTTGTAATGAAAACGTGTTTTTGTCCCAATATTTTGTTATAGAATGATTGGCTGTGTAGAACTCCATCAGACATGCTGCCATTGTGCGCGCTGACATGGATCAATACCAAACTGGTGACAGTACAACATTATATTCATTTAAGTACAGATTAAGTTAGACAAAGTCAGTCTATTTCCTGTAACTAATCACCAATTATCTACGTTAATATAAGTTAAAAGATCACCTGGGAAGTCCATTCATAAAGACAAACAGCCAGTAAAACTGGTTAAGTACAACTTACTGGAGGACAGTGATGTAGACTCAGGGAGGACTGAACAAGGCTGTCCAGATTGTCTCTTCATCTCCTCCCAACAGTGGCACCCAGTCCAAGGCAGTAGCCGGGTCACTGCCTGCAAAAAAAATCTTTGATAATTTTACTTTCATAAAATACTCAAGGGAATGTAATCAAATATGTACAATTCTTGGTCCAACAGGAACTTAACACTTTCTTTTCAAATCCCTTAAGATAGGATGGTCATCACTCCAAACATGTAATTTTTAGAGTAAAATTGATATTTTATACTTATCCTGACTCATGCTCTTTTGCTTGTCTTCTTCTTCTTGCTAACATAGTGGAACACTTGTATCTCCCTAATTGAAGCTCCCTTCAATGTAAAATCACTAATTAGTACTCACCACGAGTTACCTCCCTTCCACAAGCTCGGGAACGAGGGCGCCACCTCCACCCATGTGCCTCACTCTCTCCTCATATACTGAGCCCAACATTTGAATTTACAGGGAAATCCAAAGTGTTATGTGGGGAGGATGGGAGGGAAGCATTCTCATGAGTCAGGATAAGTATAAAATATCAATTTTACTCTAAAAATTACATATTTTCCTTATCCTGACTCATGCTCTTTTGCTTGTAGAATCCTACGGAAAAGGAGGTGGGAATATATAATACTTTGGATTTTAATAATTAGTGATTTGAACTGTGATGATTGTAATAACCCTATGGGAACTTCATAAAGGCTTCATAAACTGATGAATTCCTGCTGCTAACATATCAGCTGCCTATAAAGGTTATTACAATGTACTTATTATGATAAAGTATATATAACATTAATACAATGCTTAAGACTAATAGACTTAAGCTTGTTAATATGCTAGTATAAACTCCTTAGAGTTTGTTAGCTAAAATACTTTAAGATATAAACATAGTACTAAGCTTAAGATATGATTAAACTTAAGCTAATTATATAATAGCAAAACTCTTTAGAGTTTGTTAGCTAATATACTTATATGATATAGACATAGTGCTGAGCTTAAGATATGAATAAGCTTTAGCTACATATATAATAGCAAAACTCTGTAGAGTTTGTTAGCTAATATATTTTACAATATGAGTATAGTACTGTGCTTAAGATATAATTAACTTAAGCTACATATACAATAGCCAAAAACTCTGTAGAGTTTATTAGCTAATAGATTTATAATGTAACCATAGTACTAAGCTTAAGATATGATTAGACTTAAGCTAAATGTATATAGCAAAAACTCCTTAGAGTTTATTAACTAATATACTTTTATGTTATAAACATAGTACTGAGCTTAAGATATGATTAAACTTAAGCTATATATATAATAGCAAAACTCCGTGAGTTTGTTAGCTAATACATTTTATAATGTAACCATACTGCTTAAGATATGATGAAACTTAAGCTAATTATATAATAGCAAAAACCCTTTAGAGTTTGTTAGCTAAAATACTTATATGATATAAACCTAGTATTGAGCCTTAAGATATGAAGGAAAACCTTAAGCTAAATATATAATAGCAAAAAACCTTTTAGAGTTTTGTTAGCTAATATACTTATATGATATAAACATAGTATTGAGCTTAAGATATGAAGGAAACCTTAAGCTACATATATAATAGCAAAAAACTCCGTAGAGTTTGTTAGCTAATACATGTTATAATGTAACCATAAAGCTTAAATTATGATGAAACTTAAGCCAAATATATAATAGCAAAAACTCTTTTAGAGTTTGTTAGCTAATATACCTATATGATATAAACATAGTACTGCGCTTAAGATATGAATAAGCTTAAGTTACATATATAATAGCAAAACTCCGTAGAGTTTGTTAGCTAATACATGTTATAATGTAACCATAATGCTTAAGATATGATGAAACTTAAGCCAAATAGCAAAAAACTCTTTAGAGTTTGTTAGCTAATATACTTATATGATATAAACATAGTACTGAGCTTAAGATATGAATAAGCTTAAGCTACCGATATAATAGCAAAAACTCAGTAGAGTTTGTTAGCTAATATATTTTTACAATATGAGTATAGTACAATGCTTAAGATATAATTAACTTAAGCTACGTATATAATAGCCAAAAACTCTGTAGAGTTTGTTAGCTAATGCATTTATAATGTAACCATAGTACTACGCTTAAGATATGATTAACTTAAGGTAAATATATAATAACAAACTCTGTAGAGTTGTTAACTTATATATTGTATGATGTAATAATCATAGTACTGTGATGATAAAAAAGAATTTAAGCAAATTATATATAGCATGTAGCTATTTAGTACTGTTATAAGATAAGTAGAAATCTGTAAGATTGACTTATCTTCTCCGAGGAACTGTCAACTGTTGTGCGAGGACCATGGGACCGAATTGGTGGATACCTGAGACGTCCTCGGTGGTGATATCTCTCAGATAATGGTTGGCAACCACCATATCGGATCTCCAGAAATAAACCCTCCATTATTTCAAATAACATTTGTGTAGATCAATTGTAGAAGTTAGCGCTCTAATATCGTGAGTATTAGAAGCTCATGGAGGGTCGGATCGGGTCCATCAGTCTTGAAGGCACGTAGTATGACAGTTCTGATCCAAAAGGAGATGGTAGTACGTGAGACTTCAGTCTGCGTAACTTGATGATAGAGGAAATAATCTGTTGCATTTTCCCCTCCTGTTTGGTTCGGTGGAGATAAATTTACAGTGCTCTTGCTGGCCATCGTGATAGAATCATCGTATCATGGAGTCCAAGTATGTCATCCAGGCGTGTTCATAAACCTCACTTGTGAGGTGTTGGAGCACTATATTCAGATCCCCAAGTTGGAGCGTGAAACTTCCGTTTTAATCCTCCAATCAGAAAGCTTAAGTAGGTTTACTAACCATCTAGTTGTGTTAGTAGCTTGATGATGAAATTCAGCTGTAGTCTGAGACGCTGTGGATTTAGATCCACTTGTATCCCGTCCGCCTAGGTAAATTCGCCATAAGTCCTTTGACGATGTAGGTGCACAACCAGGTGTGTCTGTCCTCGCTGAACTTTATGTAAAATCGCCTGACTGCCGTGTGTCCTCGTCCTAACTTGACAGGGGAGGTCTCTAACCTGAAGAAAGCAGCCCAATCATGAAGGTTCAGATTAACTGGACTGTAAGGAGGCTTGCTCGCTCACTGATATATAGTTGTCACTTGTAACGTAAGTCTTGAACTGTGAACTAAGATCGACCTCTCTGCGTGGTCGCTGTCCATCGCGTCCAATCAGAACAAGGCATTTTGATTCTGTAGAATACCCGCTGTGATGTCACCGGTGTAGCAAAACTTGTATAAAATCTTGCCGTTGTTGATATTATCATAATCGCCGGTCTTCACCGTAGCTTCCCCGGTTACCCGAAAGTGACCATGTGTTTCGAGGGTTAATAGTAAACGCTGAAACCTCCGCCAAATACCTCGCCTGTAATATTAATGCTGGGTAGGTTATTTTCCTGGCTGTCGAAAGTAACTTCATTTTTGAATATAATTCCGACTTCCTTATATAAAGGTACAATAAACTTGCAAGTTGTCAGCTTGTAGACTGTATACATGAATGTATCGTCCATAATTGTAGAATTAAAGCTGAACTTGTTGTACATATTTCTTCTCAGAAACGTTGACGATTATGAGTTATACTCGCTGTAACAAGGCTGCTGTTCAATTTCTCGATATTGAATTGTCTGCAGATCTGGCGTAATGGTCACGCATGTAGATAATCGTGATTGTAGTCCGGGATTGCATATTCTAGCAATCTATAATGAAAAGTTGATTCCTGTGAAGATCTATGAAACGCCGCTTGACTAATTAATACAGCTGACGCCCTGTGTTGTAAATAGCCTGTGCAATTGTCTTCGCTTCAGAGGCTTATAGACGGCATATGGCATACAGTTGATAGACAACTTATGCGATGTCTTGAACGGACTGACGAAAGTAGCTATATATGACGAAAGTGGCTAGTATATGGAGACCTTGGAGGAGACTTCCTCGGTGAACGCCGGAGACTTCGCTAAGCTCTCGGTATCCCTTCTAGATCTTCTGGGTGAAGTAGACTTGAGTTACTTAGCCTTCGCGACCTTCGCGAAGGCATCGAAGTCAGAGCCCGATCAGTATATATATATAAGCTTTGCTTCACGAATCCACCTCTGTGTTCAACAGGATGTGGGGTCGGCGGCTTACCTCCTCCTCCGAAATCCCTTTGTAACTGGTGAGGTTCTAGCTCCTTCGCGGAGGCGGCCTGGGACTTCCTTAGCGAAGTGTCTAGAGTCTGATCAATATATGAGCGTTAGCTTCATACAGGGTGTGGTTCTTGCTGGTTCTGCATAAGTAGAGCCGAGTAGATCATCCTATCATCTTCAGAAGTCGCGGTCACGCAAATCTGGTGATAAGAATCTCATTGATCGTTCTATAGCTATTAAGGCCAAAGAACATACGCCTCTGGCGTTTGAACTTTCATGGCTTTATGGTAGGCTGTGTCCACATTCTGTGGCACCGCAGCAATCGGGTCGATCGGAGGTAAGGTGATGGCGTCTGCATCGTCTTCCTTCATCAGGTATGTCTGCGCCAAGTTGCCACTCTTGGAAGGTGTCGAGAGATCTAGGTTGTTTACCATCCAATATCGTATCTCAGCGTCTGAGAAAATGATGCCTCCATCATCTTTTATCCCAGCATCGCTGATGAGAGGTTGATGCTCTACTGATGGTGGACTGTGTGTTTCTATCTCTATGTCGGGTGACGCTCGGGGAGACCTGACTGTAGACTTGTGTGCAGACTTGTGTGGTGACCTGTGAGGCGATCGACGTGGTGATGTACGTCGTCTTGGTGATCTGCGTCTATGGGTTGACCTTCTCGGAGACCTGTGAGGAGAATGTTGATAGCTTCGTGAAGCTCTTGTGTAGCCCCTCGAAGTCCTTCTGGACGATGACGATCTGTGGTCTGAGTCCGCATCTAAGGATGAAGCCGAGGAAGGTGATGATCTATCCCGCCATCGCGAAGGCCTTCGCGAAGGCTGTACATCTGGGTCCTTCGTCGAGGTGGTCTGCGACTTCCTTCGCGAAGGTGGCTTCGTCGTGGCTGCTACGCTGACGGGGGGTGCCTCTGGGGTATCGTCTGCGCTTGGAACCTTCGCTGAAGGCTCAGGCCCTGGGCTGGCTGCTTCTCCAGTCTGTAGTGGCCTCCATCATCATGATCATGATTTGCCGCAACAGTTCATCTGGGATGGTCTGCGACGGCGTGGTCGGTGCCCTCTCTGCGATGTTAGCGGTGGGCCCCTCAGGGAAGTCGCCTGACATCAGTGTAGAGACATCAGGCTGCATGGCGATCTCTGCTGATGTCACTGTAGCTGTCACCGGTCGCTTCTTGTGGCGTATGTCGGGGATGATAATCGGCTGATCATCGTAGAGGCCCAGATCAGCGGCTGGAACAATCTCGGTTGAGTAAGTCCTAGTAGACTTCGCTGATTTCCCCTCAGAGGTCGACGCTGCCCTGGGGTGCGAAGTCTGCGCTGAGTGTTGGTAGCGACGGACCCTCAGGAAGATCATCGAATATCAGCGCTGGTACAGCAGGCTGCATGTTGATCTGCGCTGACATCACTGTTGCGACATCGGTCATTCTTTTGATGTACATCAGGTATGATGATCGGCTGATCATCATACAGGCCCAAATCTGCGACGGGAACAATCTCGGCTGAGAAAGTTCTAGTAGACTTCGTTGATTTCCCCTCAGAGGTCGACGCTGCCATGGGGGTGCGAAGTCTGCGTTGAGATGCAGTAGAAGCCCTCTAGTCTTCGGCTGCGACGATGGGATGTCTGGGGAAGCAGGACGCTTCTTGGAGGCGGCGGACTACGTCCCACGCCTCTCCACCACTCTAGCGGAACACCAGACGGGAGGGGGGTCGACCAACAGCAGTAGACTGGCGAGGGGTTCAGGTGTATCAGTCATGGCTAGACTCTGCATACGCGACCTATCTGCTGCGCGTCTCAAACACAAAGTAATCATTTATTAAAGGCAGAATTGGATAAATTAGTACCGCAAATGCAACGTGAATAAAATGAACATGGCGCAGTACAGCTAGGGCATATTAAATGCGGATCAGCAGCAGAATAAAAAAAAACAACATAATCTGCAACAGTACAGAATTTTCATCAACGTAATCCACTGAACAAACATGGCGAACCGTGAATAAACAGTAGAAATATCAATACATAATTGTTGAAGGATACTAGCTAAACCTCTATAGATGTCTATACGAGGTAACTAACTAAATATAATCAAAGGATATAGTGTGTCGGGAGACACAGGCGCTCTCCACGTCCAGCTCACTGGGCGAAGAAGGAGAGAGTGAGGCACATGGGTGGAGGTGGCGCCCTGGTTCCCGCGCTTGTGGAAGGGAGGTAACTCGTGGTGAATACTAATTAGTGATTTTACATTGAAGGGAGCTTCAATTAGGGAGATACAAGTGTTCCACTATGTTCGCAAGAAGAAGAAGACAAGCAAAAAGAGCATGAGTCAGGATAAGGAAAAATAAAGTCTTTTTCACATTAGAAAAATGGCCCTTGCCTGAAATTATTCCAGAGACATTTGAAATACTTAGGAGCCACTGAACATTCGTTCACTTTACAATATTACTTAAAACAATACTACATTAAAAACACAACAAACCTTGTGGTGTGGATAGACAGTGTTTGAGAATGTGATTGCGCAGCCCAGCCTTGGAGGAGTAGTTCCTCACACACCCCTCCATAGGACAGTGGTATGTAATTTGTTTCCCTGAGGCATCATGTTTCTTGAGATGGACATACAAACTGCTCTTTGCTGTAAATCTGGCCTTGCAACCTGTAAAGGCATATCAGGGACAATGTATTCATAGTAATATTGAATGTTGGAAGGTGTCAGCAGGATATCATGAATGGCAAGTTTGCATTTCGTAAAACTAGGATCCATTCCTGTGGTTCTCATAACCTCAAATTACATGCCCTTGCCAATCTGATCTGCTATGATCTCAACTTGATGGACTAATATGGGCAGACTCATTGATAATGATAGAGTTTGCAAGAAATTCAACAATAAAAAAGTGAATAACATGTTAAGGAAAGCCCTCTACAAACTTTTGATGAAGAGGATGTATTCATATTCATCAAACCTTGTCCCTTCTGTACTATTCACTGAGATGTACCCATTTCCTTTTGGCATATGACATTTGAAAGGTCAGTAAAATATTCAAGAAAATTAAGTGTCAATAGTTGGAGATTATAAGAACCACTGGCAGTTGTTTGACATCAGTATCCATGTGCATGGAAGGCAGCCTCTACCCTTCTCCTCATGCCACCAGTGAGCCTGTGTTGTAATTGGTTGTATTGTTGTTGAACATCACACACAGCAATATTCCAGCTATATGGTGGCGGTCTGTATATAATCAAGTCCGGTCTGTATATAATCAAGTCTGGACCAGACAATGCAGTAATCAACATCATGAGCACCTTGACTCAGATCAAAAACATCATTGGCATTTCAAAAATATTATTGGAATTCTAAATCAGATGTACTAAGAGTTGTTAATATTGTTTGGATTGGCCACTGTCCAGGGCATATCAATTAAGTAGTGTTTTCAAAAGTCATGCTTGAGTGTTGGCCTACATTCAGTGTTCACCAGTACTATTGTAGGAAACTCAAGGCCCATGTTAAGTTATACATGCCTTCCACTGGGCACACAAATGGCTTTACTCCACTGTGTGTGACAAGGTGACCCTTCAGATGTTCAGCTCGCATGAAGCCCTTGTTACACACACTGCACACCCATTTCCGCACTCCAGTATGCTTGGCTTTGTGTCTCTTCAGTTTACTGGCAGTTGTAAATGCCCAGTTACATCCCTGCAACAAGAAGACATGGTCATCAATATCCACTGCCACAGCGTTCTGTTCCTATTTGCACAACTATGAATTCGTTGTACAAATAGCGATACATACCGGTAAGCTATTAAATGGGAAAATCTGTCCCTTTTGGGGATAGCATGCACTAAGTCAAGAAATGCAAGACACGGGCCATAACTCTGTAAAGAATCATAACATGGTTTCCATTTTCTGACTCCATCAAAGCATTCATGTCCTGAAAACACATACCAAATTTGGTTTCCTTATCTATAACAGTTTCTGAGATAATCTGTCCCCTTTGGGGATACCATGCACAAATACAAGAAACACAACAGGGGCCAAAACTCTGTAACAAATTGTAACACGGTTTCAGTTTTCAAACTCCATCAAGGCATTCATGTCCTGAAAACACATATAAAATTTGGTTTCTGCAAAGGTTTTTGAGAAAATCTAGACAGAGCTCAAACCTATATCCCCCTTGTGCCGGGGATAATAACAAAAATGTTCTGATGATTAACTGGAATCCTTCAAGGTAAGTGAACTGAAAAACTGAACCACAGCTTAAATAGTCAACAAAGACAGACACTATACATAATTTGAATCTGCACCATTTGAAAAGTGAAAGCTTCAATGGGGTAGCCTAGAATTAACTCTGAAAAATGTTAAATACACTGTCTTAGTACGTGGGAAATGCTACTTCCTGTTTTGGCAGATATTTACAATTTCATGTGAGTGTCAAAAGGTATGACAATACAGAAATCATACAGACAACTATTTACATAAAACATTCATTGAAAACTTTGCTGATGAATGAGATAAACTGAGATTAATGGACAACTAACTTTTAATCTACAACAGTAACAGGATACATGTACATATGTACAGCATCTTGTTTTTCCAAGAACATAAAAAAAGTAACAAAATTTGACAGGGCCAATGATCACAGGTTTCTTGCAAACAAATGTTTTAGTTAAGGCCCTAAAGAATCCCTGCAAATCATATATCATGGCACAATACCTGAAAATGGCAGACATAAGGTTTCTCTCCGGTATGGCGGCGCTCATGTTGCTTGAGACGACATTGTTTGTCAAAGACCTTGCCACAGCCTTCAAACCTACAAGTTAGATCCTGCCTGTCTTGTAGGTGTACTCGAGTGTGTGAGCCCATGCAGTTGGGAGAAAAGAATACCTTATCACATCCTGATACAGGACACCTGTAGAGGAAAACAGAGATAAAGCCAATATCAAATGCTTAACATGAGGGGCTCAGGATAAAACTTTCACATTTCATGCAGGCCAAAACAGTCAAGACCACTACTGCTCTTCAGGTGTATCATATTACATCAAATGAAGGTTATCTGTAGCAATCAAGAAAGGGGAGTGTGGTTTTTTTTTGTCATGTTCAAGATATAAGAGTGCTTACACTGGTTTAATGAAGATCTTCAAAATCATACTTAAAGATAAAGGGTGTGTCATGCCAGGACCACCTTTTGCAAACTATAACAATTGACTGACCCTTGATATGACAAACTAAAGTTGACTAAAGTCTCAAATTCACTACTTTTATTCCAGACTACACATTGAAAAAAAACCCCATTTATTCATATATTTTGAAAAAAAGGAATTGAGAAAATTCAGAATTGTAAAACAGATTGCAGAGGTTGAATAGCACACTTCCCATGGTTTATGGAAAGATGGTAATTAAAAATGTTCCGAGTACTTGTCAACCTTTCATGAAACAATTTTGATGTCAGGATATGCCTGAAAACAAGATTATACTTGATCTGACCCAAGAAGATCTGGGTTAGAATTGTTCTTCAGCAAGTAATGCTTCATGTAAGAGGAGACTAACAGTAGCAGGTGGTCAGGCTCACTGACTTGGTTGATGCATGTCACCACGTCCCAACTGCATGTAACGATGTGGAATGACTTGATTGTTTACAGACCAGCATCATATAGCTGGAAAACTGACGAGTTATCATGGTGAAAAATAAACAAAATATACTTGATCATGTTGATATTACATCGAAGAGATCTGAAAAAGTAACTTAACTCTTCCAACAATAGGAAACCAGAAGATTTTATCGCTCTGACACTGAGTTCCCTGAGATTCTAAAGCGTTAGAAGAAGCCTATATTTATCAAGGAAAATATCAGTTTCTGAACCATCATAGCTAGCTACATGTCATACACCATTTGAAAGGTGTGTACAGTAACATTTACATTTAAAATTGTGCTATTTTGAATGCTTTTAGCAGGGTATCTGCTAAATAGAGTATGGAACTTTGTGGATGTATTGTTCTATGTTGCAACCTGTCACAAATAACTCTCATTCATATATTTCCGCACTAAACACAGTTTCCAAGCATAAAGATTGTGGCAGCGAAAGCCGCTATGCCACTTGATTTACATGACATGATCGAATGAAAAGATGGAATTAGTAACTTAGATGTACGTTTAACAACTTTTGTAAATAATTTTTGTTGATTTTATTACTTTAGTTCATTTATTTAAAGATTTCCTCGAAACATCCAGGCCTGGCTGGAATATCGGCCCTCAGTGTCTGGGGACGCATGATGTCATGGTCGACCTGCTGTGTTTAATAGTTTTCACAATATTACTAACTTGTATGTCTTCTCCATGCCTGTATGTGTTCGAACATGTAGATCTAGCTGGCGCTTTGTGGGGAAACACTGTCCACAGCCTGGCTCCGGACATGTTTCTGTGCATGGCCTCTCGTGAAGCTTTCTGTGGGAGTTGAGGTTGTATACAGTCGTGAACTTCCTACCACAACCATGAAAGTCACACTGCAAATAAGGTTGGAGCATTTTACACTCAGTACGTTTCCTGCAAAGCAAGATGTTTGGACTGGCATTGATTTAGCCAAGATAGTAAACTTCTTGCATTTGTCAGGCAAATTTGGGCAAGTACAATTGTTATTCAACTTAAAAATGACAAGCATTGTCACTAAGGTGACATAATCCCCACCTCAAATTATCAAATCAAACTTATAAAGTAATGAACGTTTAAGATGAAGTTAAAACATGACCAGTCAACCTCTCTTGATATCTTGCTCTTTAGTTGTTCAAACACACACATACTTTCAAGACTGACTTTGACCTTGACATGAATGTCATAGTGTATGAAATATGCAAAACTAGTAGTAAAGAAATTGCTTATTGAAAAACATTCAAGGGAAGTGTTGAAAGTCTATGAAGAAACTCCAGTGAACTGTTCTTAAAATATCTTGCTGACAATTCAGGTTAACATGCTGAAATCTTCAAAGTGTCCTCGTGACCCTAAAAATTATGTGAAGGTCACCAAAATTGACTCGGCCCTGTGCCTTCCCTAGATGAAGCTTGGTGTCAAATATGAAGAAAATCCAGTGAATATGTTTTGCAATATCTTGCCTGACTATCTTAACATGCAATTTAACATGCTGAAATGTTCAAAGTGTCTCTGTTACCTTGAAAATTAAGTGAAGGTTACCAAAATCGAGTGGGCCCTGCACCTTTCCTAGATAAAGCTTGGTGTCAAATATGAAATCCAGTGAACGGTTCTTGAGATAGCTTAACATGCAGGTAAAACGTTAAAGTCCCCTTGTGACCTTGAAATGAAGGTCAAGGTCACCAAACCTGACTTGGACCTTTCTTATACTGTGATGAACCTAGGTACCAAATATGAAAAGAATCTAGTAAACGGTTCTTAAGATATTCCAATTTCGTACATATGGACGGACGGAGCCTAATACTATATCCCCCGCTTGGCGCTAAACGCGGGCGGGGATTAAAAAACATAGCTCTGACATTGTATTCCTGATTGGCTGGTATGTGATGAAACATTTTGTGATCCAGTGAAATTAAAGCATGTTATTTATGTCAGACTGACCTAGATAATAACATAAAATATAGTACCAATTAATGGTTGATAATTAACAATAGCCCCACCCTACATTTCATGGCATGAATGATTTGTTGTCTTAGAAATGCAAGAACAAAAACTAAATAGAGATCCAGGTCAAAGCACCTTCTGAAATAAAAGCAAAAGGATTTTTCAAGGAATTATTGTTTAAAATGCTATTATTGTATAAATGTTCACTTGACTTTGAGTCTAATGATCTAAAATAATATGAACAATTGTGGGCTTAGTCTTTTAAAGGAATTTAGAAGTTGGAAGAATATGAATACATGATACTTTTCACAACTTCTTTCAGGGCTCCAGATAATTTTTCAACATCAGGAGTACGTACTCCTTATTTTTTCAATACATTTAGAGTACTGAATGGAATTAAATGGCGTATCAGTAATCTTGTGTTTCGTTTCATATATGCACCACAACATTGCTAGTCTTGAGTAAACAATAAAACAATACCTTTTTCAGATAAATACTTCTGCAAATGATTCTAAGGCCGTACACCATTGCTGTGGTGCGTATCTGCTACGTTTCCTAAATTATTTCCTATGGTATCGTGCATATCTTTTATCCGTACATACGCCGATACGGCCTTCATCTGGAGCCCTGCTTCTTTTATTCGTTGTCATTAGGTTTCAGACCTACTTCCTGCACATTCATCATCTTTCACCTGATCAATGTGTTATCCATAAAAGGAGTCATGAATACAACTGTAGGTTGTTTGAAGCGTATGCAATACTAACTACGATGTTGTACTACAATGATAAGTTCAAAATTACTTACATTGTAGTCTTTCCTTCCCTCATGAGATTCTTCATGCCTCTTCAGTTTGTAGGCTGTAGTGAAAGCCCAATCACAGCCAGATCGAGAACACTGCGGGGTAACAGAAACACTATACATAAACAGGGTAATGACACAATAAAGGAGCCCTGGTTTCAATAAACAGCTTTGACTGAACAATAATTCCATATCCTGATACAACCTCTTTGAACTCATAACACAGTTCCTTTGACAACGTCACTTTCTGCCAGGTCCCTCCCCTAGAACCCCCACTTCCATCACACAAGCGTTAACGTGTTTAACACACCTGTCTCCTGATTTTGAGGTTATTTGGGTAGTCCTTCTTAGGAATGTTTGAGCTCCTTTATATATTTTTGAGATATTTTATGGCAGATGTTTGCGACACCACATGTGCTGTGGTGTTGTGTTACCTCAGACAAGTTGTGAATGAGACCAACATTCTTCTGGCTCAGATCAATAGTTCTTGTTTAGTGCCAGGAATGTTTAGGACACTCAGCGGAACATGTCTGGACGAGGGAGGAGCAGGCATTAGCTTAACATTGCAGGGCTTCACATAATTCCTTCCTATCTGACTCAACAAAAATATTTCATACAAATCATATCTGATAAAATATTTTTCCAAAAAACAATGCTTGTCTACACAATGTTAGTACTTATGACTTCATGACTGTGGTGACTTCATTGCATCTTCGATGCTTATGCATGATATGACCATTTACAGACCGCTGCCATATAGCTGGAATGTTGCTGATTGCAGCGTAAAACTAAACTCACTCATTGCACCTTCTTCGGTTGCTTCTTTGTTTCAGGACCCGTGAAGGTCCAGGTTAGAATATTGATCTTCAGTAACCCATGCTTGTCATAAGAGGCGATTAATGGGATTGGGTGGTCAGGCTCGCTGACTTGGTTGACACGTTATCATCGTATCCCAATTGCGCAGATCGATTTCATGCTGTTGATCACTGGATTGTCTGGGCCAGACTTGATTAATTACAATGCCATATAGGTAGAATATTCCCGAGTACGGGGTAAAACAAACTCACTCACTCTGTTTCAGAACATTGCATCACCTGCTACAGTTCAGGGCTCAAGATAACGTGTGTGTGTGTGTGTGTGTGTGTGTGTGTGTGTGTGTGTGTGTGTGTGTGTGTGTGTGTGTGTGTGTGTGTGTGTGTGTGTGTGTGTGTGTGTGTGTGTGTGTGTGTGTGTGTGTGTGTGTGTGTGTGTGTGTGTGTGTGTGTGTGTGTGTGTGTGTGTGTGTGTGCTTACACCTCATAATGCAAGTGGAGGTGTACTGAGAATTTTGAAGGAGTACTAACATGTTTTTGTGTGAGAAAATTGGTGATGTGGTTTGTCTGGACGATTCATTGATCACTATTTTCAACCATGGGTACAACTTCTGCCAGCTCTTTGCAGTCACGGTCTGTAACTTGAACCCGCCCTTGTGGCTACTGGTCGCATAACCAAACAATAGTTCATTGATTAATTCCTCCATTAATTTCGTCGACGAAAATGTGTCTGATCCCAATTTAGACCCACTTTTTCCAAGAAACTCGTTATTTGTTTCTGACATGCCATGTTGGATGCTAGACCTGATTCAATGACGTTTCGTCCTGATTCGTTTTCACACAATCTATAGATTTCTGTTGTTTTTGTCTGTTACGGTTCAAATGAACTGTAAATATTCTAATGGTATATGTTACTGTATTGCATGTGATAATACCGACACAATGTATGTGCCGTTTTGAGTAGCCCTGACAGTTGATCAAGGGGTGGTGGGGTAGCCTAGTGGCTGAAGCGTTCGTTCGCCATGCCAAGGCCCTGGTTCAATTCCCAACATGGGTACAATATGTGAAGTCAATTTCTGGTGTTCCCCTGCCATGATATTGCTGGAATATTGCTAAACGCAGCATAAACCCCAACTCACTCACTACAGTTGCTCTAGAGCATAGCGACAGTCTACAGTCACTTCAGATCATCAAACCTTACAGACCAGATACCAAGGTAACGGCAAGATGATTTGAAAATTATTGTAACTGTAAAGATGACTAAATGAAGGCCAGTCAGGGAGAACTGAAGGAAATATGTCCTCCTCTTTGAATCACATACCTTGAAAGGCCTCTCTCCAGTGTGACGCATCTGGTGGATCTTCAGTTTAGACAGCTTCCGGAACACTTTGTCACAGCCAGCTTCAGGACACACCCATACTCTCCTTGACTGGCATGCATACTGTAATCAGAACATCAAATCTGAATAGCTCTTATCACATAATGATTTAATGACATTACAAAAATCTACTTTCCCAGTATCATCAGCAGGAATTTAGATTGGTATTTCTTATTTATGTGATAAAGGCTCTTCAGTTACTTTCAATCTGGTGCATAGGATGGTTGGATATTTTTAAGGGATGGAACTATATGACAAGATGACAAGGTGCAAAAATGTTGACATACTATAGTCAAGATATATTACTCGTATAAATATATTCACAGCCTTAGATGTCATCATTTCATTTTAAACATTCTAAATTTCCTGGGTGATGCTTGCAAAACCCCCACCAATGGAAGGATGCTCCCTCTGCCATACCCTCCCCCAACACATTGGGCCAATAGTGATAGGACATAGGGCCAACTCATATATCTAACTGCATGGGCCCACTGCCGACCGCAGATAGAATCCAATATGAGTGTGTGAATTTAGTTTTGCGCCGCTTTTAGAAATATTCCAGCAAAATCCCGGCGGGGCACACCAGAAATGGCCTTCACACATAGTACCCATGTGGGGAATCCAACCCGGGTTTTCAGCGTGACAAGCGAACGCTTTAACCATTAGGCTACCCAACCCCTAAACCAAAATGATCCTTGTGTATCACATTAAAATTAACAGCTATGGGTCAGCTTTTTTGCTGCCATACTTGCTGTAAATTTAAATAGAAAACAAAACACCACTTGCTCATCTCACTTGTATCATCATTAAAATTTTGAGAATTAGTAAGATATATCTTCGGAAACAATGAAACACTTGTTCAAAGAGCCAACATGAAAACTTGTTACATTAAATTCACCATTTTAGCAAAATCATATAGCAACGAAAATAACATCAGTCACAAAATTTATACTTAAAGAATACCTACTTAAAATTGCATGTGTCACGTTCCTTGTCCACAACACAGGATTACGTTGGACACTTAGTTACATCATGTGGATCAAAGAAACTGACATTAATTCTTTTCCCGACCCACTGCAGTTTGAGATAATGTACCCAATATTGCTAAATTAGTCTATACACTTTGGTGTTTTGTTTTGCACATCTTCAAGTCAAGAAGCAATACCATTAGTATAATTACCTCTGTTGGCATAGCAGTCAAGGGTGATGTTACCATAAGACCATTGCTCCCTTCCTGTTGGGCTACTGGCACAATCAGATAACCTGATTACACAAAGCAAACTCACATCAGCACACTACTGAGGTGCATACAATATTTAATAGTGTTCCCCTTAGGATTCAGGCAGTGCAGGGTAACTTCGTAGAAAAGGGGTACTTCATAATCTAAAAGGGCATAGTGAGTGAGTTTTAGTTTTACGCTGCTTTTAGCAATACCCCAGCTATATCACGGCAGGGGACACCAGAAATGGGCTTCACATATTGTACCCATGTGGGGAATCGAACCCAGGTCTTCGGCGTGACGAACGAACGCTTTAATCACTACGCTACCCCACCGCCCCAACAGGGCATAGAAAAATAACAAAATATACATGAAGTTAAACATGGTCTTATAATTTTCAGTTTCAAATTCACTGATTACTCTACTCTCAATGTAATTTAAAATTGGTTTAAATGCCAACTTCTTAATCATTATCAAAACTATCTCACATCTCCGCAAGAAAGGGAGAGACTTCCGCCGTTGATAAAATCCTGAAAATACCCATGGGTATTTGTAAAATCAAGCACAGCAAAAAAAAATGCAACAGGGAATGAGTTGACAAGGGCAGGGCACAAAACAAAAGAGGACCGGACTCGGCACCCTCCAAATGTGCACTGGGGGAATGCTATTTAACTTATAGTTAAGGGAATAGTACCACCCATAACCATTGTTCAAAATCACCTGTATTTGTGCCAGTGGCACACATAAAAATATAAAGGCAAATAAATTCTGTGTGTTGAAAGCATGTGAGCAAGGCACAGATGTAGATGATATTTATTTCACCTTGTTTTTAGACTGACTGACTGACTGAGTTTAGTTTTACGCCGCTTTTACCTTTTAGCAATATTCCAGCAATATCACAGCGGGAGACACCAGAAATGGGCTTAACACATTGTGCCCATGTGGGGAATCGAACCCGGGTCTTCGGCGTGACGAGCCAACGCTTTAACCACTAGGCTACCCCACTGCCCCCCTTGTTTTTAGAAGGAAAAACAAGAACTTAAAAGGAAGGGCACACACTTTCTCTAATACAATCCAACTATTTATGTAACACATTGTGATTGTGCAATGTCAATCACATTATGGGGGTAGGTGACAGAATATTGGACACATAATTCCATGTCAACTAGTTTCATCTAACACAATACAAATTGCAATAAATAAACTTAAAAAATCGAATGCAAACAGCCTACTTTTCATTAATCAAAATTATTATTTTCTAACAAAATGTCATTCCAAAGGACAGGAACTCACTTGCCAAATGTAAATCATTTATATACTCCTGGAAACAAATAAGAGAACACAAGAAAGTACAAGTGTTCCTATAATATTTTCCAGGTTTCTTCACAAGGTATGTATTGCACTGTGAGTGAAATTCTGGAAATAAATAAAGGAACATTCATACTTTCATGCGTTCCCTTATTCGTTTCTATGAGTATATACTTAAAGTCCTGGCTGCCTTAAAGCGTAAGCCATTTTTTTGTGTCATCACAAACTTAATTGGTTTAAAAGAAACGAATAATACCTGTGCTTTGGATTTGCAAAGGCTGGATTTCAGGATTATGGTCCACAGTTTCTGTAGACGTTCTTGCATCTGTACTGAGCGAAGCTGATGTTGTAGATGAAGATGACAACTCAGTAACAGATGCCTTATTTGACACTGTTGGGTGTGCCAAAGGTTGCAAGGCATTTGTAGCCTGTGTCAGATCAGCTGTGTTTATCAAATATAACTGCTGTCCTTGGTTTGTGTTCACCAATATTTGGGTTGAATTTGCTGTCTTATCTGTCGAAATAGATATTGTAGCTAGTGTTAGATTGGCTGATTCTGTCTGCGAGTCAGTAGCTGCTTCCCTTGTCTGTGGAGACAAGTTGTCGGAGCTGTCGTCAGAGGATGCTGTTGAAGGTGGCGAGGAGCATTGGACAGATGTACCTAAAACACTCTCTGTTGAGTCAGTGGCAGTGTTAAATATCAACGTTTGTTCACCTATTTTACCATCTACTTCCGAATGTTCATCATCAGTCCTGTCATCTGAAGATAAAGATGCTGCTTCTTCTCTGGAAGGAGATCTTGGAAGTTGTCCATGTTTACTAGTACTTGAATGCTGACTTGAAGTATAACTATTGTTGACAGTTTTAACAGAATTATTGGCAGCAGAATTTACTGAATTATAATTATGTGAGGAATATGTATCTTCAAATTCTAGTCCTCTGTTTGGTAGAGATTCCAGTTCCTGGGGTGTCATTAGTGAAACTGAGTCACTTTTGTCAGTAAAGGACTGCATTAGCTGCAGGGGAAATACTTCCGGGTTCCCGTTCTTATTATCACTATCACCATTTGGAAACTCACCGAAGTGAACAGTTACTCCTTGATTGGAAAAGTCATCACTAGCAACAACACCCGGGTTATCGAGTTTCACCATTGGCTCAACCACGATCGTCCCAGCTGTTTCATTTAATCGCTTCCCTTGACTTGTAGTCGAGTCGGAGCACAACCCTACCCCACCCCTCTCTTCCACACCAGGCATGTGCTCGGAGAACAATTCCCCATCGCTGCCACACCGTTCGTTTTCTTTAGCGTCACAATCAAACTGCTCGGCGTCTACACTTTTGCATCTAGATTTCAACCAACCCACGTTATTTGCCGAAATCGCTCTGTCATAGGCGAACGTATCTAGGCTGGACTCACAATCCGGCAAGAGCTGTAGGTCTCCTTCAGCGCACTCAATATGTTCTCTCTGTCCGCCATTTTGAATACATCTGGCAGGTGCTTCGATGTGTATTTGACTAGAACTAAGGCTGATACCATTTTCAAATAATGAGCTTGTCACCAAAAAATCGCGACTAGCAAGTGTTTCATGTGGGGCGCCATGGGCGCCGCCATCTTTTACCCTATTTCGTCCCCCTTTAACCGACATAATCAAGACCCCGTTGAAAAACCTATTTGGGGTTCGCCATTGTAGGCCAGAGTCGCTCCGGATGTATCACGTGATATCTAAGTTAAAAATAGCAACGGCGGGCACATATGAGAGATGGGATATTCAATAATAAAAGAAAGTAGAGACGGATATCTAGTCGGGAAAAGGTAACGATGTAAGTTGGGTCCCAAGTGAGTCTTTGTTGGCGTACTAAAAGTCGTCAAAAGAGAGTACTTGCTCAAGACTTAACTATTATCCTGCATGCCAGGCCACGAGTCAGTGCCATGCTGTATCTAAGTTGGAGCATTATATAAATCCCTGATTCATGGCTTATGACTTAGCACGGGGTTATTCAGGAGTGTTTCAGGCCGACACACGTGAACCTGCATGCACGTCGGTACATGCAGAGACCATATATACCGATATATGGTCTCTGGTACATGTGAATATTAACATTTCGCCGATTTTTGAATGAAATATAGATGTCAAAGTAACTGTAATGTCTATGTTGACCACAGCCTGGAACGTTTTGTGGTGTTTCTGAGGGTTCCGTTCCCCTAATGAACCCCTTGTTCCACGCAAACGTTTCACAAAATAGGGGACACCCCCACTGGATACCACGAGAAATCAAAGGCCTTAGACTCAATGACCAAAGCATTACGATGCTGATACACAATGCCAACTCTCATTGTTGTCTATGCAGAATCTTTGAAGTAAATTATATAGAATGACAGACGTAGAATCCTTCTCGTCTCCCAGCTAAATGAGATATCGGTGGACGGCTAAATTGTTTTTATGTACATATATTAAGTATGGAGATAATTCTTAGAAGGACTGCACATGATGGCATATTAAAGAGGAAGGTGCAGAAGAACAAGATTTGGTGGCTATATATCAAAATCAAAACTCAACTGTGCAATCCAGTATGGCCAAGTGGTTGTGACATTCAACAAAGAAAAAGGAATATGAAACATATATATCAGCAGAAACTTTCCAATAGTTTCTGTTAAGAATCTTAAAATATATGTTTGTAAGTACTAATTATGAAACCAGAAGTAAAATCTAATCAAAATATGACGAAACAAAGCTCCAATTTTGAAAGCTCGAAATGTGGATCTTTCTGTTTCTTCGTGGAATCAGGGATACTCTACAACCGGGATAGGTCACTCGCTTGCTTTCTTTATCATTTGTACTAATTAGCGTGTGCCTCGTCATGCTCCAACGCACACAGTGACTTGGTTCGTTCCCAGCGCAACTTCGGCTGCGTTTAACAGTACTTCAGCCAGTGTATTGTATCAGTCGGAATTTTACAATGAATGAATGAATTAAGAGCAAGAATTATATGTGAATGAATGAAAGAAATAAAGAAAAAGAACAAAAGAAAGAAATACATATGTGAATGAATGAAAGAATAAATGATACACCACAGCCATCCCTCCCCAAACATGTTAAAGAACGCAAAACTATCGGTAGAACACATGTGTTAACATCAGCTGTCCTTTTTTTAAAAAAATCTACTTTGAGACATTTTTTTACATTAGTAACTAATTCAGATATCTTATTGCATGTGTGAATGGCATGGGCATTGATAAAATGTTAACTGACACTGTCACAGACCTCTCAAAAACAGAAAGTTTAGAACTATCACAAAGCGTTGTAAACACCTTTCCAGTTTTGTCACATACTAAGATCAACAAGAAAGAAGTCTTAGAACTATAACACTCAAGCATCACAAGCATCAATGGCGTATCAGAACAGGGGGCGGTGGGGTAGCCTAATGGTTAAACCGTTGGCTCGTCACGCCGAAGACCCGGGTTCGAATCCCCTCATGGGTACAATGTGTGAAGCCCATTTCTGGTGTCCCCCGCCGTGATGTTGCTGGAATATTGCTAAAAGCGGCGTAAAACCAAACTCAGTCAGTCAGTCAGTATCAGAACAGATCGGCGATATGTCATATTTTTCACACACCTCAAATACACCCTAACAAAAAATTTAAATTATAAAACTATCACTATTACTTGCAAACACCTTTCACCTGATGGCATATTCCCCTCATCAAAATTAAAGGTGTATGTGAAAGATGTTTTAGAACAATAACTAGAAACACTCAAACAACGCCCTGTAGTATTTCAATGGCAGATCGGCGATATGTCATATTTTTCACACACCTCAAATACACCCTAACAATTTTTTTTAGTTATAAAACTATCACTATTACTTGCAAACACCTTTCAACTAAAGGTATATTTCCCTTCTAAAAATTAAACGAATATGTGAAAGAAGTTTTTAGCGATATAATTGAGTTTTTCTTCGCTGTGTTCTGAGAATTGAAGCAAGTGAGCTACAACATGCCGACTTGAAACTTTACTACAAATCTACAGTACTACTACTGACACTAATAACAATTATTTGACTTAAAATGAAGTGACAGAATAGGTAACTTATCTTCTACATGTAGGTTTTCAGTTGTCACAACACTCAGCGTATGTAATCAGCTGTTGAAAATAAACCGGGCTCAACACTACGCTTCCGCGATATTGGCTACACTGGTCACGTGACGAGCCGAGGCATACGCAAAGGGGCTTTCCGAGGAGTGACCACTCCCCCTTATATAGTCTCCCTGGTGGAATACAGATTTGCTTGTTATGGACTATAATTTTTACTATAATAATTATAATAATAATTTTTTATAATGTACTATAAGTGCAGAGTTCTGTTAGCTGCGCGAAGCGACGCCTATCGGAGAATCGAACAATCAGAAGCAGGGTATTCGACTTTTTGAAACCTCTTGCCGTTCAGAGTTATCTTTCTTTAAATATGCTCTCCAATCGTGAAGGAACCACTTCCGGTCAGTATATGGGGGAAAGAATTTGGTTCGCGGAAGATTTCCTTGCATTACTTACCTTCTGAGGTACGTTTTTCAAAATCAAAGTCATAAACAGGTGGATAGATATATTGCATGACCATTTGTCATTTTTAGTAGTTTGGCCAAGTAGAAATATAAAAGATGCAACAATGTCAAGGGGATTCAAGGAACTGTACCCCAAAACCAGAGTTGTGATTGACTGCACCGAGATCCTTACTCAGAAACCATATTCTGTATCAAAACAGTGGCAGATGTAGTCATGAAGAGTCACATTACTTACAAAGGTTTGATTGGTATTACTCCAAATGGTGTTATCAGTTTCGTTTCTGATCTGTTGTCTGAAGCAATAAGTGACAGGCAAATTATTATAGAATCTGGCTTCTTAGACTTATGTCAATTTGATGATGCTTTAATGGCAGATAAAGTTTCTTGATTTCTGATTTTACAACCCTAAAGGGAATTCATCTGATTATTCCTCATTTGAAAAGAAAAAGGCAGCAGTTGTCATTGGAAGAGATTTAAAAGACAAGAAGAATTGCAAACGTAAAGATTCATGTAGAAACAAATGGAAAGGGTTAAAATGTTTAGAATTTTACAAGGTATCATGCCTATTACAATATCAAATTCTGTGAACAAAATCTGGAAGATCTGTAATGGCCTGACTGCCCTTTTACCACCATTATATCCACATAAATGTGACGATGATAAATTTGTTGAAAGTTATGTGTAAAGACAACACTTAACATTGGTAATCCTTATTTGTGATGACCAGTTATTTTTGCAATGCATGAATTTGAAATAAGAACATAGAACCAATGTTTCCTTTAAGACTTTATTGGATGTAGTTTTCCAAGGATTAGTCGTTAATTACATGCAATATGCAAAGTGTAACAATTTATTCAGTTTATCCAGTCCAGGTTTTACACATTTATAAATGCAGTCGAGTGAATGTTATTGTCATCTTTCAAGAAGATGACACATATCACAAGCATGACAGTTCATTAATAGATAATGATACACTAAATAGTTCTGTGGTTTGTTTGGTTTTCATTTCACTTTCAGCTTTTCTTGAAGAATTAGACATCATTAGTTTGGACACAAAACAAATTACGTGTATGTACACTCAACGTTGCTATTTCTCCCTGCAGTTTAGGAAATTTGTAGTTACAATATTTAAATTGAATTTGAAATAGACATCATATTCAGTGATGGCATTCTTGTTGTGAGCTTTCAGAAATATTTCACTGGAGGGGAAGTCCACGGTAAACGGTAAATATTTTGGCATTACAGCTGTCAAATAAAAGCTTTCAAGTTTTTTTTTCGCATTCCATCCCACATTTTTTCATCAAACTGTATTCTTTGGATTGAAATATCCTTCAATCTCCACACAACAAAGTCACACCAGTTTCTATTCGTAACAGCCATCTGGCCCAGAATTTGAAATAATACGGATGGGTTTTTTTGGCTTCAAACTTCCATTTTCATCAACTGAACAGAGGAAATTTGCATGCATGGCAGCTTTAGTAGGTTTGATATCTCTGTATACCATGGACATTTAATCTCAAGAACACCAAGTCATGAATCCATATGTCACAATTAATACAATTTATCAAACCATCTGGATTTGCTCCCAAATCCGAAAACTGTGGGTTGAAAGTTAATCCACATTGTGACACACACTGTACATTTATGTTGGGGTGGTTTTTTATCATATTCGCCAAATGCTTTTGTGGTGTAGACTCGTGTGATAGTCCCCATGTAGTATAACCGAAGTAAAGTCATTCCCATATCAAAGTACATGATGCACAAGTCGGTCTGGTTCTGTTGATGACCTGCGATTCCAAACTCTTCCCAAACTTGAACTTGTTATTCTCCCTTTCCTACTGGCAAACAAGGATAAGTAGGACCGGCGCAGAGAACGCGTTTAATACGAGAAGATGGCGGTGCACGACAATGAGCAAACCCATTGGGTTTGTGAAAGGTAGAGCAGATGTAGGCTAGTGCACGTGCATTGCATGACGATGAAATTGATTCCGCACGTACCTTCCCACACACCTTGCTCACGTCGGTGTAGCAAGTCGCAGGACACTTGATCGCAGACAACCTGGGGCCCCCCTCGCTAACAATGGCAAGCGCCAGTGAGCGACACTCATACATGCTAATATGGGTCAATTGTCAGGTGGGTGCTCAACTTATCCTTATTTGCCAGTAGCTTCTTTCCATATATCTTCTTTGTGTTGACCCCTTGACAATTCTTTCAATAGTTGCTGCTTCGTCTCCAGAGAGATTGATACATGTAGTTTGCATGTAATCTGTAAACACAACTTTGCAGCTATCGGATGAAAGATCTATATGATTTCTAAAGCAACAATCAACGTCTGGAAGTTTTCGAAGACTGGAAGCTTCAGGAAGCACATGAATATCTGTATTGGTGTTAACAATCCACCCACACTTTCACACTTTTGGCATCAAGAGTATCAAGTTTTGCCCTAAACCTGTCAACATCCATCATAGTCTCGGGCATACCACTGTTCAAACAAAAGGTAGATTTAAAAAACAATCATTTACAGATGACGCACCGACAGTCAACATTGTTGTCCCTTTTCCGTTTTAATACGCTCTTTCTGCCACTTGACATCAGTTGAAAGTTGTCTGATGTCATTGGAGCAAATTTTCTATCTCTAGGAACCATCCACTTACATTTTGTAGTTGTACAGGACAATGATCCATCTTCTTAGGAAATGTCGATTTGAGCATACAGAGGTGCCGAGATATGATTACAAGCTTCACCAGCTCTGAAATAGAAAAGGGCAACATAAAGATATTGAATGTAACAATGTCAAACAAGTCATTATAAAATGTTTTGATGAATGAAGTCACCTGACACATAAGATTCAAAAACAAATTAAAGTAACATCATGAGCTTGGTTTATTTTTACAATAAACAGTTTCGAAGCGTCCTTTTTGAGTCCATCGTGATCATCAAACGGTTATAGATCAAAAGGTAGAAAAAAGATAGTGATGAAAAATACTGCTCTGTGTTTGACTACATGATTACTTTATTCATGAATAAAATTGAAACATCTTTGTTGTAAGTGAAACTTGATAACTGAACAAAGAATTCACTTTAGAAACCAAATGGGTTGCTTGAGGCATGTATATATATACTCGGCTGCACACGTGCAATATGCTGAGTTGACGTGACCTGTCACCTTGAATAGACACACCCAAACTTGATGATCTGGATTTGTCTTCTTGTCTGACGTTGGAAGAGAAGGAATGACTGCGAATCTTATAAACATGTGATCGCAATCGACCCTGATAGTGTGAAGGGCAACACGGTGGACATGGCCATCTTCATCAAAAACATTCAGCCAGGTGACACAGAGCTTTCATCGGTTTTGAATCTACAGACCAATGTGTACTCAAAATTAGGTAATTCACACCTATAAGTGTCATAAATAGTGATTTACAGGTTCATGAAAAGACAAGAAATACATAATTTCATTAAGTGTTCTCGCTCTTCAGGCAAACAGTGAGAACCTATAACCTATCTCATCCGGTTCTAAAACTTCCAGATTGGTCAAACCTTCTCACTTATCCTCACATGAAGCAGAAGCATCAAAACCCCAGTGTCTTCGATCTGCACGCATGGAGCATATCAAGAAGAACCTGAGCAGGCGTGGCTTTTCCAGCAGAGCAGAAGTCTCCCGGTCTCTATGCAACTCTACCAGAAGCCTGTATGATGATACAGATAAGTGGAGGAGTTTTGACTTATTTGCCAGAAGTAAGGGGATTCGAGCAGATATACAACTTCAGAACCTCAAAGGATCTCAAGATTGGGCTCAATCTTAGCACCAATCAGCTCTGTCATCACCATGGTGAAGGCTCCAAACTTACTCAGAATGTCAGAGTTCCATTCTATCCACCTCAGCCTCACCAGATTTGATAAAGGTCCCAATGCATCAGTGCATCTTGGTCTCCGTTTGGATTTTATTGCCAAAAATCAGCCAGACCGACAGTTTCACACCCCACTACTATCGTCAATACTTGGCAATGAAGATAAGGATGACGCATCTATCTACGTAGAATGAGCACCAGACGTCAGAAGGTAAGACGACTCTTCATCCCGCTCATGAGAGATGTCATAGCAGAAGTATCCGAAACAATTACATCTTTCTGGATGAGATCGGTGATGCTTCGAGCATACAGAGATGTAGGCTTAGAACCTCCCTCAGCTTCCAACCCACACGAAGTAAGAGCACTATATGGCAATTGCTTCTTACCTGCCATCAATGCGCATCATGGAAGGATGCTTTGGAAATATATTTTTCTTCTTGTGTTCAATCACTTTTATTTGAGATTATTTGCGAAGAAAAGCTTAATCCATGCCACCCCATCAACACATGACATCAACACGTCATATATGGGGTCAGACATTCTTCCACAGCCTGACCTCCCATCTCCAAGTGACTGGGGTTGGATACAGAGGTAAAGTGGACAGTATGTTCCCAACTGGACGACACTACACCAAGCATCAGAATTTTGTCAGGAGTGGGTATCCTGTCAGTCCAAAGGGGTGTAACAACCGATGCAAGTGCAAACAGTCCTCACTTACAAAATAGTATACAGTAATAGTAAATTAAAATCACATATAATCGGGCTCGTGGAAGCAAATACTTCTTGAGCACGTGTTGCATATCTTATTGCGTGTTTGCAATCAAAATGTATGCCAGTGAATGTATTTCTAAATTATTATTATTATTATGTGTGTGTGTGTGTTTAATTCAAATGTTCCATGCTACCTTTCAACAATCAACATTAAAACAATGCTCATATCATGCGAGGTTACAATACTGTACATGCAAAACTCGTGGGCGCACATAGACCTTGTTGCTCAAATAATGCTACGTTCTCACAGGGAGACTATATGACGTTGTATATATGTTGTAGATTATCCCTGGTTCTCAGTATGGTTATTTTCTGCGTATTTATGTATACCTTTTACCCATTCAATAACATGCCGTTCGGCATTGTCAGTAAGGGTTATGTAGTTCTTAATTCATGATTCTCAGAATATATTAATTGTCCAAGGTTGTGATTTTGCTGAAATGTAAATGCACTCATGAAATGCATCGAATAAAGACTGGCTACTAATAGAAGCTTCTCTTGGTTATTTGAAGGCGTTGCGGTCCCAAGCTAATTCCCCGCCAACAGATTCTAGGTGTTATAATTTTTTTCTAGACCAAATATAAACCCTAAAAAGGTTACTATGAGGTCAAGGTTATTATACATTTATGGTAAGAACAAAAGGTTGAATTTCCGTCAGTGTTACTAAATACATTCGCGCAAAACTTAAAAAATATTTACCAGCTAAAATGGTTGGAAACAATTTCAATATTTACAAAATGTAATTATTACTCAATCTTAAAACCATCACATTTATACTGAACGTTACTTATCATGTGTTAATGTTAAGAAATTCAGAATATCTTTAGCTTGTTTCCGTTGTTCATCTCATGCTCTGTTAATTGAAAAAGGTAGGTTTATGAATATCAAGAGAGAAGATAGAATCTGTAGATGTGGTAATAATAATGTTATAGACGACGAATGCCATTTTCTTCTTCTATGTCCAGCATATAATGCAATACGTAAAAAACATATATGTTAAAGAATTCTATTTTGTCCATCTATCAATTGATAATTTTTCTTCTCTGCCGAATTGTTCAAATGAAATTGTAATTATAAATGTTGCGGTTTTTATTTATCAAGCTGTGATGATAAGAAAATTGTATATATGTGAAATGTACTACATGTACATGTATAGGCCTGTGGCATCTTCAGTAATGCAATAAAGATTGACTGATATAATAATACGTCCGATTCATTTGTATGAATCACAGGTCGAGGCTAGGACTTTGGGATTGTATTGGAAAGATACATGTATGTCCACATAAAGTATTTTGAGCAGAAAAATCTAGCTCATATATGGCAAGAGTAACTGATTGACGTAGACCGGTTTCAATCAATCTCAATAGATATGTATAATTTTGAAATTCTGGGTCAAGTTATTAAGCATGTTATCTACACTGCACGCTTGCGTATGTTATATTATGCTACTCTACGACAGCCACTGGAAAACAAAAGCGCTTTATTTGAAGCTTCTATCGAAGCTTTTAAATGTAAAGTAAGAATAATTCTTTCTCGATTTTGTGTAAAGATAAAATAAAATAATACGGATCCGTAGGAAGAGGGATCGTACGGATCCGTAGGAAGAGGGATCGACACCGATACTGAATACAGAAGATCGAAACGGACTAAATAATATTGTGTTCAAAACAGTCAAAATGAAGTTTTATCACAATACTTACTCCTAATATCATGAGTTCTTTTCAATTTGCCCATACTTAAAATGTCACGTACTTCTGTGAAATGTTTGGGTATGGAATCTCGGGGGTGCGGGATTAATCTGAAGGCAGATGATCCTCACCCCTTATGTTTAGCATGCCGACACTGATCTCGGTCGTCGTCTTGTGCTGTGTGCAAGGATTGGACACCGGAGCAGTGGACCCAGTTGGAGAGGCGCGTTCGGAAGGCGTCCCCGACTCGGGCCGACCTCAACCCTAAAGGTGAGGTCGGCCCGAGCTCCCGGGTGCAGGCTTCGACAGACCCCATGGGTCTTGAGTCGACGGCCCAGATGGAACCCAAAACGTCCCTACGGGACCGACGGGATTGGGGTCGGGTTGTCCCAATGTAGCCAGGTCCTGGCCGGCCCTGCGGTGGCCCGTAACCAGGTCCCAGCTAGCCCTGCGGTGGGTGCCGGCCAGGGTATGGCTTCCCCGGGTCCCGGCCAGGAAATTCCTACTCCCGCAGAGATGTGGCAGGCCATCCAGTGTTTGCTTCTGGAGCAGGTTCTGTCCTCTCTACAGCAGAACGTGTCTAGTGGGGTAGCGACCACCGGAAGCTTCCCCCAGGCCCCTTTAGTTCCAAGGGACCCATCCCCCGACCTTTGGTCTAGTTGTTAAACGAGACACGGGTGAGGCGACTGTGAAGGCCCCAACAGTCCCGGTAGGTTCTTCCCAAGGGGACGGGCAGCGTCCCATGGACGTGGACTCAGACCCGGATGACTCCTCGTCCGTGGACTCGAGCATCCTGTACAAGGAGGAGTCCCACCCAAGACTCAATTGTCGTCATTATGTCAAATGATAAGGGAGTTTCTCGGAAAATGGGTGATCGTTCCCCTCCCGAATCTTGGGCCGGGATTTTACTCCCGACTGTTCCTAGTCCCCAAAAGAAACGGAGACTGGAGGCCAGTATTAGACCTGTCTCACCTGAACAAATACACTCTAGTAGAGGCGTTCAAACTGGAAACTCTCACTTCCAAGAACCTCTCTAAATCAAGGCGACTGGGCTATTTCAATAGACTCGAAAGACTATCTTCACATTCCTATTCGCAAAATGTGGAGAAAATGCCTCCGGTTTGTGTTCGAGGATCCCGTGTACGAGTTCCATGCTCTCCCGTTCGGACTAGTCTCAGCTCCCTACGTTTTCACCCGAGTCATGAAAGCAGAATCTCCTCTGTGCTTCACAGAGTCGGCAGATTCAGGAACTAGCGGAAGCCACTGTGTCAGCGTCTGAACACCTTTGTCATGCTAGCACACAAGTTGTGTGCAAATACTTTCACCGGGCCGAGAGAGATGCACTCTCTCCTAGCTCTAGGTCAGATGGAATCATTTTCAAAAATTCTGCCCTGGGCGAAACTGGCAAAAAGAGAGATACAGCTGATGCTAGCCTCCAAGTGGAACCATCTGAGCTGGGACACACCTGTTCCCCTCGGGACGTGGTTCTACTCGTCCATAAGTCAATGGTTAGCATGAGACTTCCTGTCTCAGACCATGCCGTTACACCCACCAACACCGTCGCAGTAGCTGTTCACAGACGCCTGCGAGACGGGCTGGGGGCTCATCTGGGCACCCTACAGGCCGATTGTCAGTGGGAACCGCACCTTCGCAATCTCCACATCAATGTTCTGGAGATGGAAGCGGTCAATCGGGCAGTGGAGGTGTCTCAACCGTGGTTTCCCACGCTGCTCAAGCTCCTAGTGGTCCCACCGATAGCGCTTCCACGCCGGTTCGGTCTGTTAATGCAACCTCAGTCGAGGATATGCCACGAGAACCCGGCAGTGTTAGACCTACACGCCTGGAAACTGTCTAAGCAGTTGCCGAACGCGTCGCTCAGTCCAGGCGCTCGTCAACTGAGAAACTATTTCAGTCACACTGGCAGTGCTGGTTGGATTGGACGAAGTCACAACAGGTGAAATGGTGAAAGACTTAGCCGAGTTCCTAAATCACCTGCAGCTGAATTCACCTCTTAAAGCGGGGGTCCCGACTTCTCGGGGGATCCAGTTCTGAGAGATCTAATGACGTCAATGTCTGCGTCCGCTGTGTCGAGACAGTTGACTCCCGAATGGGATGTATTCTTAGTCATCGAAGCTATGAAGAAAGCCCCGTTCGAGCCAATGGAGACGGCAGATTTACAGCTTGTTTCTTACAAAACAGCCTTCCTCGCGGCTTTGGCTACAGCGTGTCGCCGTTGTGAGTTACACCAGTGTATGAAATTGGGCCCGTCCGACAACCCGAGACGGGCTAGATTTCTGCCGGACGGTCTAATTTTACAGCTAGCCAGCCTGATGGACGGGTGAAATTTTTTTTATTTCAATAACATGCCCCACTGGCACTGACTGGTTAAATCTCTTCTGGGCTGGTAAGTTTTTGAAGTTACCAGCCCAGATGTCTGGCTGGGTTTTTGGCTTATTTCATACACTGGTTACACGCTGTCAATTTCCAAAGTTTACGTTGGCAGAATGACTTGGTAAGCTTGCAAACTCTTCCAGAGTTCAGGGCTAAGCCTCAGAAACCACATGAGTGTTTTGCTCTGTTATAATTCCTTCTCTCTCCAATACCTTGGAGAAAGAGGATTCCACAGGGTTAAACCCCTACGGACTACACAGAGAAGGTTGTTTAATTCCTACACAACGGAAGGTAGAGAAATTGCGGCAGCTTCCTTCTCAAGGTGGATTACGAGCACCGTCAGGGTTGCCTATGATCAGGCCGGGAGATTCTTCTCCACTCATCCTGCAACGCATCGACAAGCTGTTGACGTGTCTGTGGTTGCGGCTGTCGGCGTCGTGCACGTTGATCCAATTGGTCCCACAAATGTTCAATTGGGTTAAGATCCGGAGATTTTGAAGGCCATGGAAGAACTGTAATGTTGTTGATGGCAAGGATATCTGTTGTAATGCGTGCTGTATGCGGTCTTGCGTTGTCATGCTGGAAAATTTCTCTTCTAGCGTCAATTACGGGAATAACATGACGTACCAGGATTTCATCACGATAGCGCACAGCATTCAAATTCCCTTGGACATGCACCAGCTCTGTTCTGTCATTCACAGATATGCCTGCCCACATCATTACACCTTCGCCGCCGTGTCTGTCGACCTCACGAACACACTGTCCAGCATATCTTTCATTTCGACGTCTGTAAATCCGCATCCTGCCATCCGGTGGATACAGCATAAACCGCGACTCGTCGCTCAACCAGATCCTCCTCCAGTTCAAGAGGGTCCATTGCCGGACGTTCCTGCTCCATTGAAGACGTGCACGACGATGGTGGTGTCGCAGAACAGGTCCTGTATGTGGTCGCATCGGTCGGATTCCATGCTCTCTTAGGCGATTCCTGATGGTTTGTGCAGAGACTCGACGCAGCCCAGGAACATTGTCGGCGGTGTACGCTGCAGTGACGGTCCGATTTCGCAGATGAAACACCCGGATGAAGCGGTCTTGCGCTGGAGTTGTCACCCTTGGTCTCCCACTCCTAGGAAACGGGAAATCGTACTCTGCCTCACGTTTAGACGTCTGGCAACTGATGACTGGCTTTCTCCAGCTTCCAAGTGTCCAGTGGCTCTGTTTCTGCTTTCTTCGTTTAGTCGTGGCATCTTGAGGGTCGCATATACAGAATTTTGGAGAATGAATCGCAACAGGACTGCTGGCTTTTTATACCCATCAGTATCAAGATTCAGATCCCGTATTTGCATGTGCATCATGCTTTCAGATTTTTCTACATGCAGATTATACGGGGATTTTTTCAAGGTGCTGTGTTTTGGCGAATAATCACCAAAGGTTGTGTTTGCGTGTGCTGGATAATTGTATGGGCTATATTCACACTTAGTGTTAACATTGACAGTCATTCCATGCCATATTTTTCGAAACAATCTACTTTGAAGATCAGAATTCAGCTATGCGTTTCTTTTTTTGGGCCAGTGTATCATAATTCCCACCCTCCTTCCCCACATTGGGAAACTTATTTTCCGAGTGTTGAGCAACGTTCTAACAAGAACGGGCCTCTAGGAGTGGCAGGGTAACAGGTTATGGTTTGGACAATGAGGAAGTTGTGTGGTTAGCGCTCGTATTTATAGATATCGTGACGTCATCTTGCGCGTGACGTCACCCGACACGGACGAGTGGTGTGTTTCCCCGAGCGCAGCGCTAGAACCATATGGCTGGGAAAATCTTTACGTTTGTTTCCCGTTCGGGGTAACAAATTTCGTGTATTTTGTAAGTTTGGCTAGTATGGGCAAATTGAAAAGAACTCATGATATTAGGAGTAAGTATTTCATAAAAAAACAGGAATTACTATCGAATTCCCCCCTAGTTCACTGTTTTCACATTCTTAAACGTACGGTATCAGATTGTGATCGATTATCGCCAGGTGTTTGTATATCTTGCCACTGTTACAACCTCCAACTCATCAGCAGGTAATAGTCACTTGTGCTATTTCGGATTTCTTATAATCGTATAAGTCCTGCTGCTATTTCCGTGACGATCTATGTTAGAATTTGTCTTCAGCAAACCATGCTTGTCAAAAGAAGTGACTAACAGCATCAGTTGACTTGGTTGACAGCGTAGATTGATGCTCATGGTGTTGATCATTGGGTGGCTTGTCCAGGCTCGATCATTTACAGGCTGCTGCCGTATGGTTGGAATATTGATGGTGTTTGTGTTATACAAGTACCCGTGCATGTCAAAGAGACGATAGCTCTTAACGTTCATCGATGTACGATCGAGTGTTCCATTTTCTGCATCGATGCACGTTAAAGCATATGTCTCTTTGGCATATACCGTCCGGCAGACCCGGGATCCAGGCTGTGTACCGTCTTGGGTGAGGTGCCCACAAGCCGGGAACCAACTTTGGGTGGGAGGTGAGGGCGCTTGTTGACTTAGCTAAGATCATAGCGTTCATGTTCATGTCAGTGAACGATTTGTATCTTAGCTATTGTTGACTGGTACCCTGCCGTTTGCCTCTTTTAACAGCTGCACAAAGTACGACGAGGCGTGCAAGCGCTCTATGATAAGCAAACCAGTCACCTGCTATAGACTGGTTCCCATTCCTGTGGCGGACATCACTTGGAAAGAGCAGCCGTTGTCCGGAACCAGTCATGTTGCCTGCGTCGCGTATCAACAATGGAACCAGTTTAATTTTGAAGGTGAGATGTAAGCTCCATCTCAGCGCTTCCGAACGGTACCGTGCGCTGTTTACTTGCAGAGGAAACAATACATCACTAAAGGGAGCTCTGGCGAAGGTTGCGCGGCGTCGGCTGGGACGAAGATGGCATTTCGAGCTGCTGGTAGAGGAAAAGTAATGTTTTATCTGTTAGTTTTGTGTAAATGGCCAGTTATATGTTCAATACATTCAACTTGCCAGTTGTTGCTTTTCTTTCACTCATCCTCACTGTCAGTTTGGTTACACAAAGTATCGATATAAGGATAACCTTGTCAGCACGGATACTATAAGTTAGGGCTCGGGTTAGTCTCTCGTACAGACCCTGAAACAAATATATCCAAGAAAGCCCACACTAGTCTAGAAAATGTGGCAAGTCTAGATTTCCTCAGCTTCTGAAAATGAAGAAAGTCTCAGGGCTCCTTTTCATTATATATATTTTCTTTTACTATGAACTTTTTTCAGTAAAATATGTTCATTTCAGAGACTAGTTGTTAGTCTAGGCTCGGGTTAGTGTTGGGGAATATGGTAGGGAGTTGTCCGGTCTAATGCATGTGTACCTCGTTTCTGTATAGTGCAGACAGAATGAACTGTAGGCACATTGGGAACATCCCGTTTCTGTATACAAGCCAAACCAGAGTGCACTGTACAGAAACGTGCCCACCTCCCCACAGACACATCCCCAGCTCATCAATGTTCATTTTTAAAATTTAGAAATCCCCCATGCTTACCAGAGTAAAATTGAAACAAGTCAAGAAAACACTGAGATTTTTCACTGTTGGGGTAGTTGTTGGCACACTCAGCAATCTTCCAGCTATATGGTGCGGTCAGTAAATAATCGAGTCTGGGCCAGACAAAACAGTATGAGCATCGATCTACACAATTGGGATACAATGACATGTGTCAACCAAGTCAGCAAGCCTGACCAGTATGACTACCGGATCCCATTAGTCGCCTCTTACGACAAACATGGGTTACTGAAAATCAATTCTAACCCGGCTCTTCACGGGTGCACAATGCTTGATGCAGAAAGACAATGCATCTTAATGAGTTGATTATTGGCACTGTCACCAAGTCCTATAGGACATTGCTAGCTGTTATGTATTATTACAGATTCACCCATTCAGATGCATTTCCATGTGTGAAATTCCTCCAAATCTGCAATCAGACCACAGAGCAGGCAGCTCCAGCTGTCAAAAAGTTACCTCCCAAGGTGTTCATGTAACATGGAGCTAAGTGATAATGATTGGAAATAAAATAACAGCAGAAATCAATTTTTTTAAAGGAATAAATGAATCCACCGTAAATAATCCTAATAAATTAAAAATTAACAGGTTTGCCCTTCTGTCAATGAGTCCTGTAGGACATTGTTAATAAGTATTGTTATGACAGTTCGGTATTTGGATGAACCTGGGAATATAGCTTTCTTTGCAAGGAACATGAAAGGGTCACAAACATCACTCAAATTCCGGATTTAGATGCACTTTATTAATTCAGCCACACATACTTCTTTCATTGTTTGGGGCGGTGGGGTAGCCTAGTGGTTAAAGCGTTCGCTCGTCACGCCGTAAATACTCCGTCATATACATAATTAGTACCACTACATTATCAATAATTGTGTACTACACTACATATTGCATGGTATTTCTCACTGGTATGTATGTCGAGAAAATATACCTGTACATCATGTCCATTATAAAATTTTCCAAGAATTAGAACACTGACAATGTTACCAGGTCTGAAGTGTTGTCACATCCCTTGATAACTATGTATAACCACATTGTGTGGCATTTATTTGTTAAAGCATTATTTGTATATAATATGCATGATAATAGAGAGTAACAAATAACTAGAAAATACTTTATTATCATGATCATGGCCAAGTAACAATGAGAATGGTTTGGCCAATGTTTGAGAATAGTTTAAACATGTAGTGAAACTGCATGCAACTTGAATTAAATAAGATGGCAAGTTTCAGTTGTTGCAGTAGTAGTGGATCTCCTGCTTCAATGTACCATCTTTCAGTGGCATAAATGTTTGTCCTCATGACTTCCATCTTATATTATCCATATCCATTCTGTGATGAATGACAATCCGACATGATCTATTACATAACAGTTTAGGTTTTCACATTAGGGTACACATGGTAAAAATATCAGATTATGTATGTGTTGGCTTTGAAATAAGTGTGTGTTATTCAGGCATGGTCTGGACATGTGAGCAGAATGATGTATTGTACCAAGGAGCAATCATCAGGGAACATTCCCCAACAACCAAGACCGACACCTAAAACATCTGAAAAAGGTAAGCATTTTACACCCAGATTTGAAATGAGGAGGATAAAAGTGATTAATCAAACAACATCATTCCTCTCTTGCTGTTTTCACGTGCATATTACATAACATGTAATGCATTTGCCACATAAGACCTGAATTTATAAGGTTGAGTAATTACCACAAACATGAGAAATGCCAAATGGGAACTTTTGTCAAGTAATCTGGATGGTGTTACCACTAATTATGCCTGTTATAAAATCAGTAACTGAGCATCAAGTGAGTGATGACGATTAGACAGGTGTAGGTTTTTACCATCATACATAGATGACAACAAGGGAGTAGCAATCAATGATTTGTATTTAATTTAGTTGTCTGAAAAACTTAAGGATCATTGCTGTTTTGAGAGTATCTGATTCATTGTTGCAAGAACAAAGGTTACACACTTCTACTGTGTACGAAAGTAAATGATTGCAGGTACACCTTTACCTGGATATATTGTATATATTTAAGCAACAGCAAAATGGGGTTTATGGTCTCAAATAGATCAAACATGTATGTTTAAAATGATAAATCAATGACCTAGACATTATTACATGACATGGTAACAAACCACAGACATGGGATTCAGATCAGTCTTAGCTGTGTTACCTTCCACTCATCTGAAGTATTAAAATGCTTACAATCACACTAGAACCTTCAGGAATATTTCCCAAGAGACGCATTCACCACTCTTTTTATCTACTTGTTCAGATTGAAGAAATTAATTTACATATGCCCTCTGATATGCATAATACTCTAAATGCATCAAAGTTTATGTCTGCTGTCGTTACAGGTGGGAGCCAGGTCTCGTGTCATGCATAGTGCATACAATGGATAATCGTCTTATGCAGGCTAATTAGTCATTGGTGGTGGTGTTTGACAACCAGATTGAAGCCATAGATCAGTGCCCAATTATTTAATGATGCCCCAACTGTTTGATACCCCACCCTGTTTACAGCACCTTATGCTGAAATTACATCAGCACGCTAAAGGTTAAGGGATAAATTTGTCATATGGGTTAATCAATCTGTAGATATTATATTTAGTGTTTTAAACAGTTGACGATGGAACATATCTTAGAGGCTGTCTTACTTCACTTACTGAAAAGTCATGACTGACTGTTTCTTGAAGATTCCAGGAAGTTTATGTTCATGATACAGAGCTCCAGATAAGTCTTTGGTCATGTGGGTATGATACCCATAGTTTTAAAACTAAGTGGGTATTTCCAATTTCAAGTGGGTATCTATACTTTTTGATACCCTACATATGTTTAAGATTCAGGTATTCATTTCAAATAACAAGTATAAGAGGTGTGCCTGACACACACTACAACGTGACCTCAGAAGACTGTAGCAACTGTTTGTTTTAATTCAAAACCTTGTTCCCATCATGTTGTTTCACTTCCACGTCGCGAATAGCTAATGTTACAAGTTTATTTATGATATCACGGGCAATTGATTCTGATTGTGAAACACAGCATAATATTAATTCATCTAGCAGTCCTCTAAAGAAGTTGTTTTCTGATTTTAGAGTAAAGAAACCTAGATTTTTTACTTTGAGCGTGTGGATGCTTTCAACCATTCTTGCTTTGTTTACAGGACATGTACACAGGAAACAACTGTTTCATTGGTCGCTTTTTATAGATTGGCCAATCAGTGAAGGGTTAGCAAACCATGACTGGTATTCTATCTGCCTGCGCATCTTAATTTGTTTAGAATTATTCAATAATATTTGAATCGCGAATATTTGGAGATGGACAAGTTTGTTTCGATTGGTTTGAATTGATATGAAATGCACCATAATTTTGATGTATTGGGTAAATAAGCATTCTTATTTTGACGTAGCGTAAACGTAAATATTTAGTGTTTTTCATACGCTGGCATTTATTTTTCTTGCGTATTTCAACTTTTCTATAGCGTATTATACGCAAATACGCAGCTTATCTGGAACTCTGAATAATATATTAGTCATCACTTTTGAAGTAGCAAGTTGCATCATTTAACATTGGATGGGAAATTTGCAAATGCAATTTGCACAGTTTCTAAATAAAACAAAAAACAACAGGGTTATACTTATCTGCAATAACAACCTGAATAGGAAAATCTGAAAAATGACGCTAACCAATTCTTTTTAGATGATTGCTCATTGGTAATGAACCAATTATCAATTGTGAAATTTCAACCAATTCCCAGCACTAACTACTACTTGGTTGGTGCATATCATCGTAACCCAATTGTAAGATTGCTGCTAATGACAGTCACTGGAATTTCTGGTTCAATATCAATTACTTGTCGACTACCTAATGTGGGTGAGATCGGCATAAAATAAGGACATCTTCTATGTAACATTGTACCACATACTAAACACCTCAGATTTTCATTTCCATTTTCTTTTCTCTTTCTTGTACATTTTACATAGCTGTTGCCTGCCCCAGTTGTAACACACATTTGTACACATGCTTCCCTTTTGATGTCTTGGTACACTTCTGGTGTTTGGATACCCTGTTTGTGTAGGGATTAGAAAACATATCTTGAATGAAGTACTGAACATCACTGTTTGAGCATGTGGAGCCCATTAGACTCTGTTCACAAACTCAAAAACATACGTTATAGATGAGTTTGATCTTGTTTCAGCTGTTGATCCAGTGTCTGACATCAGTACATACAAAGTGAACGAATATTACAGTCACAATGACTTCTCCTTTTATGACATTGATGTTGACATGAAGACTCACCGACTGAAGCAGCCCTCCAGTCATGGGACTTTGCAGCCATGAGATCATAACATGAACACTCCCCTATAACAAATCTTGCAGAGATATTTAGTGATACATGGAGTGTCAGCTATATGAAGAGATATCATCAGGATATTTAGCCTTTTGTATTTCTGTTTCAATAAAGTGAATATTTATCGGATGCACAATTGTGATTGTAACAATTGCCATCATTTTGCTTCTTTGTTTATTAAAAAACTCTCTAGTTTGCCATGCTGCGAATAGCTGGAAAATGGCTGATGCGGTGTAAAGCAATATTCATTTGCTAGTTAACATGAGAATTGAAACAAACAAGAAAGACATAAGCACATCAGAAATGTGGTGTAAAGGAGGATGATCATCATTTCATGGCTCAGTGTTCCGGTTTGTAATTTTGTGGTTTGGAGAGGAGTAGATGTTTTTCCCTCATGGCACAAGGGATGTACAAGATACAGGGAAACTTGAATTTGTGTCACTAAACAGTGGGGAAAAAAACAATGGTCATATTGTTATGATCACCCATAGTATTAGAGATTTATGTTGTTACAGTTAAGAAACATTTGCCATTAAGACTCATTGTAAGGAGATATATCCGATTTGTACAGTAAAGTGTAAAGAAAAAATGTCAACAAGTCTTTCTTCATTTTGTGTTAGGATTCAAGGTATATTATCTATGCTATTTCAATAACTGTGGTTTTCTAAGGAACACACACACAAAGAGTTTGAGTTTGTATCATATTCATTTAACACCATTACAACAATAAAAATATAGGTGCAAGCAGAGGCTCTATGGTCCTCTTTGGCCTTTACCCTCAAAGAACTTTGTTGAGCCATTTAGAACATCCTCAGTTTGCCTTTTGTCCTTTGCAAGTTTTGCCATCAAGCGATATCCTTTCAGTAGTCAAATTTCTGGTTTGGGAAATACAGGAAATCTATGAATAGAAGCGAAGAAAACCTCCATAAGGCTCAGAGTCCATTGTAAAATTGCGACTAGGCAATCCAGTGTCTGATCTATCATATGGTTGCAGAGCAAATAGCAATACCATCTGCCACCTGGGTCTTAAAACATAGTAAATATGATAATCTTGTATGGATCATGTCACTTCCAGTAATAGAAAATGCTTCCTTCATTAACTTTAAGATGCAATTATCATCGTCCTAGTTCAGATACAAACGGTTGTATACTCTGGTTTTGGATAATGGCACTTGTGGTTTTGGAAACAGTTGCAGGCTTTATTAGAACTTTAAGAAATGTAAAATGGTTGTACTGGCAAACAAGGATAAGTTGAGCACCGACCTGACAATTGACCCGTATTATTCACTTGCCATTGCTAGCCAAGGGGCCCCAGATTGTCCGCGATCAAGTGTAGTGCGATGGGTGAAGCGAGTGGTCCGTCTGAGCAAACACGGAGTTCGACAGTGCCAGGTGCATTTGTTTGCATTTTACATTTAGAAAATAATAGGAATTTATAGTCTCTTATAACCATTAATGGTTGGCTCATAAGTTACTATGTTTTATACGTTTACAGAATCTGCTATTAATATGAGCAGGGATAATCTACAACATACGTTATATAGTCACCCTGATATGATTCCAGATAGCATTCAGACGTTGGCCCAACGTTGGCAATGGTTTTGCCAACATTGCCAACGTTGGGCCAACGTCCGAATGCTATCACGGGAGGTGTGACCTGAAAAACACAACTGTCCATCTGACTGCAATTGTGTGTGCGTTAGATACACATGTGTACTTGCTGAAAATGAAACAGATTTATTTTCAATAAGTGAATGAATCACATTGTAATGAATGAAGCAAAGTAGAACATTCTTCTGCCTGGCATAAAAATTACCCGGCCATGCTTGAAAGTAATGCCAAGGTGTCATAGGACCTTGTAACAATCCCTTAATGTTTATTGTGTGTCCGTGCACGGTAAACTTAATACTGGCAGCGGGACAGAACAACACTAATCACATTCCGATTCGCTATCTGATTCACTCGTAAGACCAAGTTCGACAATGATGTTTCCATTTCTGCTTCAACCGCGATTTTTCGTTGTCAGTACCCATCTTCAATAGCTTGGACATGCTTACAGCATTCCGACCATTGCTTGGAACTGTGTGCTGACATTCTCTCTTCACATTGTGCCCGAAGCGATGTCTTTGTGAACTGCAAGTTTTGGAGGTAACCGCAGAACGACATGCCCATGTTGCTGCGTCTGCATGGTATCTACGCGATATACAGGACCGGCTTTGTTAGATCTGGCAAGAAACAACAGTTCGGCTTCGAGCGATTTGACTGCGTTTTGTGCCAACTAAATCCCATTTGCTTCAGAGCTAACCGTAAAGATTCCCGAGAACCCACATAATTGAGATCTGTTTTGACCATCTCATGGATACTAAGAGTTGGAAGTTGTTTTCGCACTACACATGAGTTTTGCACAGACTGGCGAATTGCGCACTGGTTGAAATCATCGAGCTGGGATTTCATCACAAGACAATTTCGCGACTTGCTTGGGATAACGAAACTACCCTCCCCATTATCACGATCGACAACTGCTGCTCGGATGCGCCTCAGTGAAGAGAGAGATAAACCAGTGGCATTGCTAGCTTTTAACTGTGCATGTTTCGTAAATGTACATTCGTTCTCCATGTACTTATAACATTGTATGCCACTCGTCGGGTCTGAGAATGTCTTATCTGACCTTGCTTACTTAACTTTGACATGTTTTATATTTATATATCCGAATATTACCGACTTGCTACACCGACCACGTGAGAAGTCTTACGAGCAAGGCGTGTGCAGCTCCGCGCGGAATCAATTTCTCGTCCCCGGTCGCCAACACTGATCTCCCAACAAATGAAAATCCGCATAAAACACTGACATTTGACCTGCAGTATATACGCTTTGGGGTTCCTGTTGACATGGCTATAATTAGCTAATATTTCCGCAAGTTGACATGCTTTAATACTGACAAAACGCAATTTTCAGCGAATGTTTACTTACTGCCGTGGCTTGAATCACTCGGAAGAGATCGTACGGAAAATAGCATTCGGAATCGTTCGGGTACAAACTTTTTCGAGGTAAAAGTTCAAAAGGTATGTGCGAATGTCCACTTTCGCGATTTGGTAAGCTGTGTTCTGATTGGTCAATTGGAAAGGTTACCTGACGCGACCTTCCACAAGGTTTTGTTAGACCAGGGATACTCTACAACAGGGATAGGTCACTCGCTTGCTTTCTTTACCATTTGTACTAATTAACGTGTGCCTCGTCATGCTCCAACGCACACAGTGACTTGGTTCGGTCCCAGCGCAACTTCGGCTGCGTTTAACAGTACTTCAGCCAGTGTATTGTATAGGTCGGAATTTTACAATGAATGAATGAATGAATTAAGAGCAAGAATTTTATGTGAATGAATGAAAGAAATTAAGAAAAAGAACAAAAGAAAAAGAACATATGTGAATGAATGAAAGAATAAATGATACACCACGGCCATCCCTCCCCAAACATGTTAAAGAACGCAAAACTATCGGTAGAACACATGTTAACATCAGCTGTCCTTTTTCAAAAAAAATTACTTTGAGACATTTTTTTACATTAGTAACTAATTCAGATATCTTATTGCATGTGTGGAATGACATGGGCATTGACAGAATGTTAACTGACACTGTCACAGACCCCTCAAGAACAGAAAGTTTAGAACTATCACAAAGCCTTGCAAACACCTTTCCAGTTTTGTCAAATACTAAGATCAACAAGAAAGAAAGAAGTTTTAGAACTATAACACTCAAGCATCACAAGCACCAATGGCGTATCAGAACAGATCGGCGATATGTCATATTTTTCACACACCTCAAATACACACTAACAAAAAATAATAATTAAAACTATCACTATTACTTGCAAAAAACTTTCACCTGATGGTATATTCCCCTCATAAAAATTAAAGGTGTATGTGAAAGATGTTTTAGAACAATAACTAGAAACACTCAAACAACGCCCTGTAGTATTTCAATGGCAGATCGGCGATATGTCATATTTTTCACACACCTCAAATACACACTAACAATTTTTTTAAAATTATAAAACTATTACTATTACTTGCAAACACCTTTCACCTGATGGTATATTTCCCTCATAAAAATTTAAGGTGTTTGTGAAAGATGTTTTTGAACACTAACTAGAAACACTCAAACAACGCCCTGAAGTATTTCAATGGCAGATCGGCGATGTGTCATATTTTTCACACACCTCAAATACACCCTAACAAAATTTTTTTAGTTATAAAAATATCACTATTACTTGCAAATACCTTTTAACTAAAGGTATATTTCCCTTCTAAAAATTAAACGAATATGTGAAAGAAGTTTTAGCGATATAATTTAGTCTTTCTTCGCTGTGTACTGAGAATTGAAGCCAGTGAGCTACAACATGCCCACTTGAAACTTTACTACAAAGCTACTGTACTTATACTGACACTAATAACAAGTATTTGACTTAAAATGAAGTGACAGAATAGGTAACTTATCTTCTACATGTAGGTTTTCAGTTGTCACAACACTCAGCGTATGTAATCAGCTGTTGAAAATAAACCGGGCTCAATCTTAAAAACTACGCTGCCGCCATATTGGCTGCACTGGTCACGTGACGAGCCGAGGCATAGCTTAGGAGCTTTCCGAGGAGTGACCACTCCCCCTTATAGAGTCTCCCTGGTTAGACTCAGTGTAGCAGTGTAACGAATAATACTGAGCCTAAGTTTACTTAGACTGCATGGTCATTGACCAAAAGGTGTATTCTAAATATACGACCGTACATGGTCCCAGACAGCATGGTGGATTCTTAATACATGACCACATATGGTCACTGACAGCGTGGTGAATTCTCAATGTATACATGGCTGTACATAGTCCCTGACTGCATGGTGGATTCTCAATACATGAGTATACATGATCCCTGACTACATGGTGGATTCTCAATACATGAGTATACATGATCCCTGACTACATGGTGGATTCTCAATACATGAGTATACATGATCCCTGACTACATGGTGGATTCTCAATACATGAGTATACATGGTCCCTGACTACATGGTGAATTCTCAATACATGAGTATACATGATCCCTGACTACATGGTGGATTCTCAATACATGAGTATACATGATCCCTGACTACATGGTGGATTCTCAATACATGAGTATACATGGTCCCTGACTACATGGTGGATTCTCTGATTCTCAATACATACTACATGGTGGATTCTCTATACTTGAGTATACATGATCCCTGACTACATGGTGGATTCTCAATACATGAGTATACATGGTCCCTGACTACATGGTGGATTCTCAATACATGAGTATACATGGTCCCTGACTACATGGTGGATTCTCAGTACTTGAGTATACATGATCCCTGACTACATGGTGGATTCTCTATACTTGAGTATACATGATCCCTGACTACATGGTGGATTCTCAATACATGAGTATACATGATCCCTGACACACTTCCTTGGGTTTCGCATTTATACGGACGGAAGAAAAGGCACGGTATTTCATTTGGATGGCCATGACATAAGAACATGGAAAACCTTAATTATGAATGTATACTACTCACACTTTGCTAAGGATCACAAAAATACGCAACATTACTTAAACGTAGATTTATAATCTGAAATTGTATCCATTTAAAAGTGGTCAAATAATGATATGGTAACACATCTTTAGGAAAACAGCCACGTTAAGTTAACCTAATACACCAGTAACCATAGAAATGGTTTTCATGGCACCACTCAACCATTTTGCAAATCATGGTACGGGTCATTGACAAGTACACACCACCTGTCAATAGCAAGTAGGGGATCCACAAGATTCAATGACATACTGAAGCCTAGAATCTATGCTTACAATAGGCTTAGAAATTCAAACCAAATTTGACCCCATATCATAGTTTTATGTTGAATCAATGATTTGATCCTTAGCAAAGTGTGAATAGTTTATTATATACTTGCATGTATAAAAATGATCTTCTTAATTATGTTCAGAGGCTAAAGTTATTGTGACATGGAAATTTCATTGTAACCTTGCGGATGAAGTTTTGGATTTGAACCAGAGAAAGAGTGTTGTGCAGTTGAGCCTTTTATTACAGAAACACTTACACCCTTCAAACGTATTTCAGAACCCGAAAGTTATACCCATACACCAATGTTTAACTAAACATATTTTGTACCTTATTTCCATATTTCACAGTGTATTAAAATGGTCAAAGAAACCCAATCAGTTGTTCGAAATACACGAAATGTGCAAGAAGCATGACATATTCGAGAATAATGGCCAGCACCAAGCAATGTTCACTGCAAGTTAGACAAAAAGATCTATTCATCCTTCTGGATCACGTTCGACTTATGCTGCCAATTTGGCATTGTTGACCTCTGGGTTCTCTTTGCCATCATGTAACTGTCTGGGATAATACCTGGTTACTATGTCTTTTCAGTTTGAGTATAGTATCGTTGTAGCTAAGTTTTTTGTAATCGGCCTCCACTACAAAACCGTCCTTGTGGACACCAAGGCCTACGCTGAGTAGAGATGTCAAATCTGTACTTAACCGTAAAAAAAGAGAACCCAACAAAAAACGCAAGGTTTGTGAAATGCACAGAATAATATTTTGTGAAAAGAAATCTGAACAAACATAAAGAAATGACACCTTTCTCTGTTAACATCATTTATATCATATATTAATGGGAAAACTTATTTTATGATCGTCATTTTGATTGGCATATGATTTTTAATATTTGCAGAAAGAATTTGAAAGATGTAAAACTTTCAGATTTTCAATTTAAGATATTTTATACAAAAAAGAGCTTTTGAAAATCGAAGCAATCCCTCGGATTGGTCGATCGGCAAAGCAGGCGGATGGGTTACGCCGAAGTGTCGGCCGTGTCATAGTTTAGTGTACTGGCAAGCATTTCGAGTCGGGGGCATATCAAATTTGATTTATATTTTAAGAATCTATAATCCTCGCAAAGACACGAGGGCTTGTGGCGCTTATGACAGTATATGTAGCAGGATAAACTGTCTTATTCAATTTCCAGATATATCGGATTTTATTGTGCAATGTAGTCATATGATTATGCAAATAAAACGTATTTATGGCAAAATGTTGGTTATGATTGTTATATGGAGAAACATTGTACAATGTGAATGACCCCCACCCCAACGTAAAATTTTTGTACAATGTAAGTGCCCCCAATTATGGATTATTTTACATCTCTAAGGAAGTGAGGCGCTTCAGTCTGGCCTCAGGTTTACTTGTGTATAATATGACCAGAGTTTCAGTCTCTGATTGGGTTTAAAGGTCACATGCAACGTAAAACACAACTTTGCAGATTCTGATACCTTTCGGTATGGACTTACCGAAACAAATCATCAAAAATGCAAATTCAACTTATAAAGTTGAAAAATAACGCGATGAAAAAAACGCGCGAAATCGTAGTTCAAACGATTCACTAATTTTCCCCCGACTTTTCGGGGGGAAAATGGTTTCAACAGCTGGGCTGCGCTCATAGCACGTGCGCAGTGAAATAGGTTCGCGCAACTTGGAAGCGGGCTGTCCGATGAATACTCGGTGAAGGCTTTGGTGTGAGCTATTTTCCTAATGTTTTGTTGATATCTCACAGGCGCGAGCTTTTTATATGTTATGACAGTAAATAAACTGTTTATATAATTTCATTTGTCTATTTCACCACACATTCTTCTTACCAAGTCGCTTTCTCAGTTCGATACTTAAAATGTCGTAGGC